AGCTCTCCTGGAGCCCCTTGAGGCTCGGGAAGCAGCTCCAAGGATTTCCTCGAATCTTCTGGAATCCCAGACTTGGATAAAAGGGAGGAATTTGCACCTGGGATAAACGCTGTGGGAAAGGAAGGATGGAAGGATTCACTCTGGATCAGCCGTGTGGGATTCCCAAGGTTTGGGAATTGCCAAGTTTAATAATGTGGGAAATCAGATGGTGGATTAATAACAGTAACGGGATAATTAATTAATCAATTAATCTGCTGCTTATTAAGTGATTAATTAATCCCTTAGCAGGGTATTGATTATCCAGGAAGGATCATGGTATTTTGGCCCATGATCCAACGGGAATGTCAGATCCAAGACACATCTGGGAAAGTCTTGGGAATACCTCGCGCCCTTGGAAAACTTCCAAGGAAAATCAAGAGCCAAAAAACAATGGTTCATTCTCTTGGAAATATTTATTTCTGGGATTCTTGGAAGGCAACTTGTCCATGGATTTATCCATTAAAAAAAACCGACATTCCAGGGAAAAGAGAGTCTGGAATATCAGAAATAATCCACCAGGAGAGCACCAAGAGTGGAGTGGTTGGAAGAGAAAAATCTGATTTTCCCTCTTCAGAAAACATGGAATAGCCAGCTGGGAATTCCTTCCCAAGATCCCACCATCCCAAGCTCCCCTTTCCCACTGGAAGCCATTCCCTGGCTCCTGGCCCTCCAGCCCTTGCCCAAATTCCAGCTCTCCAGGAGCCCCTTTGGGCTCGGGAAGCAGCTCCAAGGATTTCCTGGAATCTTCTGGAATCCCAGACTTGGATAAAAGGGAGGAATTTGCACCAGGGATAAACGCTGTGGGAAAGGAAGGATGGAAGGATTCACTCTGGATCAGCCGTGTGGGATTCCCAAGGTTTGGGAATTGCCAGGTTTAATAATGTGGGAAATCAGATGGTGGATTAATAACAGTAACGGGATAATTAATTAATCAATTAATCTGCTGCTTATTAAGTGATTAATTAATCCCTTAGCAGGGTATTGATTATCCAGGAAGGATCATGGTATTTTGGCCCATGATCCAACGGGAATGTCAGATCCAAGACACATCTGGGAAAGTCTTGGGAATACCTCGCGCCCTTGGAAAACTTCCAAGGAAAATCAAGAGCCAAAAAACAATGGTTCATTCTCTTGGAAATATTTATTTCTGGGATTCTTGGAAGGCAACTTGTCCATGGATTTATCCATTAAAAAAAACCGACATTCCAGGGAAAAGAGAGTCTGGAATATCAGAAATAATCCACCAGGAGAGCACCAAGAGTGGAGTGGTTGGAAGAGAAAAATCTGATTTTCCCTCTTCAGAAAACATGGAATAGGAAAAAAGGTTAGTTAATTAAATATTAATTAAATTATATTAAATTAAATTAAATTAAATTAAATTAAATTAAATATTCATCACCAAACATAGGGAAGGTGGAGCCAAGTCCCAGCTTCCAAATCCAGATCCAGGGAAAAGGCAAAGCCAGGGAAAAAGAGGGTTTCCGGCTGAAACTACCCATGGAAAATTAAAATTAATTATCCAAACGAATTACTCAAATTAGCTAAATCAATTCTAATTATCCAGAGTAAGGCAGTGAAAAAAGTGTGTTTTAAATCCCACCCGATCGTTCCTGATCCTTTTAGGATGGATGGAAAATTCATGTGGAATTCTTTGCCAGAGAAAGGGCGGGGCGGTGAAAATGGAAGGAGAAATGGAAAAACTTCCCAGCTTTTTTTTTTTTTTTTTTTTTTCTTTGGAATCCTCTTGTTTGGAATATTTTTATTCCCAAGGGTGCGGAACACAACCCTTTCTCGTTTTCCTGTGATTCCATCCCTGGGAATGCACACTGGATCTCCTGGCTTCCCTCAGAGCCAATTCCCTGCATCCCTGTGGTCGTGGATCTTCGGGATCTTTGGAAACAGGATGCAAATTCTCGGGAATAAAATCTGCTCCATCAAATCCCAGGTGGAAAATTCCCCCAGGAATGCCTCCATTGCTTCCCTTGGGAAATTCCAGTGGGTTGGCCGTCATGGGACTCCACATGGATCAGCCTGGAGCAGATTCCCACCCTCCGAACAGCTGCATTCAGTCTTGGGAATGCCCTTCCCAGGAATCACCTCCACCAAATTCCCAGGAGATTTGGATCCCAGTAGGATTGATTCCCTTCCCAGGAATCAACACAACGTTCCCAGGAGATTTGGATCCCAGTAGGATTGATTCCCTTCCCAGGAATCAACACAACGTTCCCAGGAGATTTGGATCCCGGTTGGATTGCTTTCCTTCCCAGGAATCAACATAACATTCCCAGGAGATCCTAAACTGGAGGACTGGGATAAATTCTCTGTTGGATCAATTCCGTTCCCAGGAATCACCTCTACATTCCCAGGAGGTTTGGATCCCGGTTGGATCCATTCGCTTCCCAGGAATCACCGCCACATTCCCAGGAGATCCTAAACTGGAGGACTGGGATAAATTCTCTGTTGGATCAATTCCGTTCCCAGGAATCACCTCTACATTCCCAGGAGATTTGGATCCCAGTAGGATTGATTCCCTTCCCAGGAATCAACACAACATTCCCAGGAGATTTGGATCCCGGTTGGATTGATTTCCTTCCCAGGAATCAACATAACATTCCCAGGAGATCCTAAACTGGAGGACTGGGATAAATTCTCTGTTGGATCAATTCCGTTCCCAGGAATCACCTCTACATTCCCAGGAGATTTGGATCCTGGTTGGATCCATTCCCTTCCACACTCCCAGGAGATCTCCCACGTTGGAGCACTTGGATCGATTCCCTGTTGGATCCTATCTGGATCCATTCCCTTTCCAGGAATCACCTCCACATTCCCAGGAGATTTGGATTCTGGTTGGATCCATTCCTGTCCACACTCCCAGGAGATCTCCCACATTGGAGCACTCTGATTGGTCTCGTGTTGGATCCCGGTTGGATCCATTCCCTTCCACGTTCCCAGGAGATCTCCCATGTTGGAGCACTTGGATCGATTCCCTGGTGGATCCCAGTTGGATCCATTCCCTTCCCAGGAATCACCTTGACATTCCCAGGAGATTTGGGTCCTGGTTGGATCCGTTCCCTTCCACATTCCCAGGAGATCTCCCACATTGGAGCACTCTGATTGGTCTCGTGTTGGATCCCGGTTGGATCCATTCCCTTCCACATTCCCAGGAGATCTCCTGCATTGGAGCACTTGGATTGATTCCCCATTGGATCCGAGCTGGATCCATTCCTTTCCCAGGAATCACCTCCATCAAATTCCCAGGAGAGCTGGATCCCAGTTGGATCCATTCCCTTCCACATTCCCAGGAGGTCTCCTGCATTGGAGCACTTGGCTCAATTCCCAGTTGGATCCTGGCTGGATCCATTCCCTTCCCAGGAATCACTTCCACATTCCCAGGAGATTTGGATCCCAGTTGGATCCATTCCCTTCCACATTCCCAGGAGATTTGGATCTAGTTGGGTCCATTCCCTTCCACATTCCCAGGAGATCTCCTACACTGGAGGACTGGGATCAATTCTCTGTTGGATCCATTCCCTTCCCAGGAATCACCTCCACGTGCCCAGGAGATTTGGATCCCAGTTGGATCCATTCCCTTCCCAGGAATCACCTCCACATTCCCAGGAGATCCTAAACTGGAGGACTGGGATAAATTCTCTGTTGGATCAATTCCGTTCCCAGGAATCACCTCTACATTCCCAGGAGATTTGGATCCTGGTTGGATCCATTCCCTTCCACGTTCCCAGGAGATCTCCCATGTTGGAGCACTTGGATCGATTCCCTGGTGGATCCCAGTTGGATCCATTCCCTTCCCAGGAATCACCTCCACCAAATTCCCAGGAGAGCTGGATCCCAGTTGGATTCATTCCCTTCCACACTCCCAGGAGATCTCCCACATTGGAGCACTTGGATCGATTCCCCATTGGATCCGAGCTGGATCCATTCCTTTCCCAGGAATCACTTCCACATTCCCAGGAGGTCTCCTGCATTGGAGCACTCTGATTGATCTCGTGTTGGATCCCGGTTGGATCCATTCCCTTCCCAGGAATTCCCAGGAGATCTCCCACGTTGGAGCACCCAGATCGAATCCCCACTGGATCCATTCTCTTTCCAGGAATCACATCCACATTCCCAGGAGATTTGGATCCTGGCTGGATCCATTCCCTTCCCAGGAATCATCCCAACATTCCCAGGAGATCTCCCATGTTGGAGCACTCGGCTCAGTTCCCTGTTGGATCCATTCCCTTCCCAGGAATCACCTCCACATTCCCAGGAGGTCTCCCACAGTGGTGGAATTTTATCGATTCCCAGTTGGATCCATTTCCTCCCCAGGAACCACTACCACATTCCCAGGAGATCTCCTGCATTGGAGCACTCAGATCAATTCCCCAGCTGGATCCCAGCTGGATCCCAGCTGGATCCCAGCTGGATCCCAGCTGGATCCCAGCTGGATCCCAGCTGGATCCCAGCTGGATCCCAGCTGGATCCCAGCTGGATCCCAGCTGGATCCCAGCTGGATCCCAGCTGGATCCCAGCTGGATCCCAGCTGGATCCCAGCTGGATCCCAGCTGGATCCCAGCTGGATCCCAGCTGGATCCCAGCTGGATCCCAGCTGGATCCCAGCTGGATCCCAGCTGGATCCATGCCCTGCCCAGAAATCAATCCACCATTCCCAGGAGATTTGGATCCCAGTTGGATCCATTTCCTCCCCAGGAACCACTACCACATTCCCAGGAGATCTCCTGCATTGGAGCACTCAGATCAATTCCCCAGCTGGATCCCAGCTGGATCCCAGCTGGATCCATTCCCTTCCCAGAAATCAATCCAACATTCCCAGGAGATTTGGATCCCAGTTGGATCCATTCCTTTCCACACTCCCAGGAGATTTCCCACATTGGAGGACTTTTATCGATTCCCAGTTGGATCCATTCTCTTCCCAGGAATCACCTCCTCATTCCCAGGAGATCTCCTGCATTGGAGCACTCAGATCAATTCCCCGTTGGATCCCGGTTGGATCCAGATCGTTCCCACAAACGCCAAGAGCTCCTCTTTGGTCCATGCAGAATCCGTTTCCCGGCGCGATTCCCGCCCTCCGTTCCCGGCGTTCCGTGGGATGCGCGGCGGGGAAGGGCCCGGGAGGGGTCACGGGGAGAGGTGGGGCCGGAAGGCGCGCGGCCGGATCATCATCACCACCTTCCGCAGGGAATAGTAGTCCGTGTCCTTCCAGGAATACCACACGATCCCGTCCGGGCCCAGCATCTTCCGGTTTTTGATGGAATATCGGCCGCCCTGGGGAGCAGAGGAAGGAGCTCAGGAGTGGCAAAAAACAGCAAAAATACAGCAAAAAAACCAAAATGCAAACTTTTTTTAAAACCCCATAAAAACATCAAAATCAGTAAAAAATGAATTAATTTGTTTTGATTCTTACTACTTTTTAAAATTTTTATTGCTTTTAATAAAATGTTCTTTATACACTTTTAAAGTTTGAAATTGACTTTACCTTTCTACTATTCCAACCTCACAACAAAAATTAAATACATTAATAATGATGATGATAATAATAATAATAAATACACTAAAGATAATATTCCTCATAATTTTTGTACACTATAATAATATATAATAATATATATTACAGTATAATACTTTGTTATTACAATATAGAATGTTAATATTTTAATATTATAAATATACTATTATTAGTATATTATTCGTAGTATATTTTGATTTATAATATTATTAATATCATTATATTAATATTTTTATAATAATATTGTTATAATAAATACTTACATTAATAATGGAGCCATAATAATTATAATAATTAACCAAAACCAAACCCACCATACACATCAACACATTAAATAAGAAATCTCAAAATTAAAAAAAATTAAATATTTAAATGAATTAATTAAATTACTGTTACTAAACAAAATTACAAAATTAAATTAACAAAATTCTTAACAAAATTAAATTAATTAACGTTAATTAAATTAATGAACCAAAACCACTACAAGTGGGAAACACTTGGAAGCTCCTTTGGGATGGGATCATGGGAAAAACGACCTGTTGGAAATACAGGAGCAGGATTGGGAATGCTGGGAATGTTTGGATTGAGCCCCGGAGAACTTTTCCAACCTCAACAATTCCAGAATGATCTCTAAGGGAATGAGGGATGGGATCCAGCTGTGCCAGGGGAGGTTTATTTGGATTTTGGGAATAATTCCTGCCTGGAAAGGGTTTTCCAGGCCTGGGCTGGGGCAGATTTCCCATTCCTGGATGGATTTAAATCCCTGTGGATTTAAATCTTTCCAGGATCCATGGCAGGATTGGGAATGCTGGGAATGCTTGAATTCATCCCTGGAAAACTTTTCCAACCTCAACAATTCCGGAATGATCTCTAAGGGAATGAGGGATGGGATCCAGCTGTGCCAGGGGAGGGTTTATTTGGATTTTGGGAATAATTCCTGCCTGGAAAGGGTTTTCCAGGCCTGGGCTGGGGCTGATTTCCCATTCCTGGATGGATTTGGGAGGACACGAATCAGTGACAGGATTGGGAATGCTGGGAATGCTTGAATTCATCCCTGGAAAACTTCTCCAACCTCAACAATTCCGGAATGACCTCCCAGAAAATGAGGGATGGGATCCAGCTGTGCCAGAGAAGGTTTATGGGATATTGGGAATAATTCCTGCCTGGAAAGGGTTTTCCAGGCCTGGGCTGGGGCTGATTTCCCATTCCCGGATGGATTTAAATCCCTGTGGATTTAAATCTTTCCAGGATCGGTGACAGGATTGGAAATGCTGGGAATGCTTGGATTCAGCCCCGGAGAACTTTTCAACAATTCCAGAATGATCTCCCAGGGAATGAGGGATGGGATGGGAGGGAACGGCCGCCAGCTGTCCCAGGGGAGGTTTAGTTGGATTTTGGGAATAATTCCTGCCTGGAAAGGGTTTTCCAGGCCTGGGCTGGGGCAGATTTCCCATTCCTGGATGGATTTAAATCCCTGTGGATTTAAATCTTTCCAGGATCCATGGCAGGATTGGGAATGCTGGGAATGCTTGAATTCATCCCTGGAAAACTTTTCCAACCTCAACAATTCCGGAATGATCTCTAAGGGAATGAGGGATGGGATCCAGCTGTGCCAGAGAAGGTTTATGGGATATTGGGAATAATTCCTGCCTGGAAAGGGTTTTCCAGGCCTGGGCTGGGGCAGATTTCCCATTCCCGGATGGATTTGGGAGGACACGGATCAGTGTCAGGATCGGAAATCCTGGGAATGCTTGGACTCAGCCCCGGAGAACTTCTCCAACCTCAACAATTCCACGATTCCAGGAGCAACACCCTCGCTCCTCACATCCCACCCTCTCCACCCCGCCTTTCCTTCACGTCCATCCCGCTGATTTTGAGGAGGAAAATTAATCTCCACCGGGGAAAAAAATTCCCGAAACCCTCCCTCACATCCCACCCTCTCCACCCCGCCTTTCCTTCACGTCCATCCCGCTGATTTTGAGGAGGAAAATTAATCTCCAAAAATTCCCGAACCCCTCCTGGCCTTCACCTTGTAGTAGACGCCGTTGAGGTTGGAGAAGAAGCACTGGTGGTACCACCAGCCCCCGTGGGAAATCTCGGCGCAGATATTCCCGGAATCCGGAGTGCTGAAGCTCCTCTTGTCGTGGTACCAGGCGAAGGAATCCTCCACGGTGCCGCTGAACCCGTCCACGTGCAGCCGGTAGAAGTTTTCCTCGTCCTCGATGCTGCGGGGCGGGGAGAAAAGGAATTTTTTCCTTGGGATTGTTGGAATTTTCATTTTCCGGCTGGGATTTGGCATTCTTGAGGTGTGGCGGCTCTGGCTGAATCCCTGTTGGGATTTATCTCCTCGAAAAGTCAAGGATGAGGAGGGTTTTTCCCTTCTGTTTTTGCCTTCTGGATGGACGTGGTCAGGAATTTGGGAATTTCGGGATGAAACGGGCAGAGCGAGACTGGGAAACCATGACAAAGGAATGTGGGAGCCTTGGGAAAATTCCCTTTATTTATCCAGCACTCTGCACTTGAGCAGCATCCCTGAAATTATTAATTACTGGAATAATGGAATTATGGAATGCTTTGGGTGGGAAGGGACCTTAAAGCCCATCCCATTCCAACCCTGACACTTCCCGCTATCCCAGGCTGCTCCAAAAATATGGCAGGGCATGGAATGGGATGGATTGGAGGTCCCTTCCCGCCCAAACCATTCCAGGATCCTCTGGAGCTGCCAGGGTGGCTCCAGGCTGGAATTCTGTCCCAGCAGAGAAATACTTTGGGATGTGGCTCCAAGGGGAAAAAAAATAGGATCCAGGGAATGCTTGGAGCCTTTTCCAGAGGCTCCAGGAGAGCTGGGATTTGGGCAAGGGCTGGAGGGCCAGGAGCCAGGGAATGGCTTCCAGTGGGAAAGGGGAGCTTGGGATTGTGGGATCTTGGGAAGGAATTCCCGGCTGGGCTGGAATTCCCAGAGGATCCCTGGGAGTGTCCAAGGAAGTGTTGGATGGGCTTGGAGCAGCCTGGGTTAGTGGGCGGTGTCCATGGGATGGGATCTGAGGCCCCTTCCCACCCAAACCATTCTGGGATTCTGGGATCACAGACATTCCAAATCTATTTAGGGGAATTTTTATGGAATACCCTTCCCACCCAAAACATTCCAGGATTTTAGGAGCCACACGCATTTCCAGGAAAAACAGGGAATGGGATCCTCTGGGGCAATCCAGGCACTCTGGGTCACTCTGGAATAATCCCGGACGTGGCTGAGGAGGTTGGAAAAATAAAACACAGGAAGAGGGGAAGGGCTGGAGATTCCAAAGGATTCCAGGAAATAAATGAGCGGAGATTGGAGACAAAATTCCAAACTAGGAAAAAATTTGAGTCCAATTGCGGAATTTTGGGGCAAATTCCTCAAAATCCTCAGATTTTGGGCACAGAGCCCAATAATTGGGGTCAAAAAACAACCGGGAGAAGCCAGGGATTATCCATGGGATCCTACACCTCCTTTCTCCCTTGGATTTGGAATTCTGGCATGGCCGGATGACACCACACATTCCCTAACTCACATCCAACTTTATCCCAACTTTCATCCCAAATTTGGGATGAAATCCAGGTGGGAAGGGAAGGAGAGACCAGGCTCAGCCCGGAAACCTCCCTGGACAGAATTCCCGTTGCCCGAGGGTCTCCCGGGGTTTGAAATCCCGGGAATTATCCCAGGTTTTACCTGAAGACCTGGTAGAAGGCGTGTTTGTGTTTGTTATTCCAGTCTTCCAGGTCGATCCGTAGGGAATAATCCCCCTGGCTGGTCATCCTGTGGATGTTGTCGTTGCCCAGCCAGAATTCCCCGTTGAGGTCCCCAAATCCTTCTTTGTACTCGTTCCAGGTCCGGTTGAAATCCACGGATCCGTCCTGGCGCCTCTGGATGACGGTCCAGCCACCCCCTGCCGGGAGAGGACGGGAAACGGGAAAAATCCGGGGAAAATCCAGGGAGTCCCAGAGAGATCCACTGGAAAAAGCATCCCTGGACAGAATTCCCGTTGCCTGAGGGTCTCCCGGGGTTTGAAATCCCGGGAATTATCCCAGGTTTTACCTGAAGACCTGGTAGAAGGCGTGTTTGTGTTTGTTATTCCAGTCTTCCAGGTCGATCCGTAGGGAATAATCCCCCTGGCTGGTCATCCTGTGGATGTTGTCGTTGCCCAGCCAGAATTCCCCGTTGAGGTCCCCAAATCCTTCTTTGTACTCGTTCCAGGTCCGGTTGAAATCCACGGATCCGTCCTGGCGCCTCTGGATGACGGTCCAGCCACCCCCTGCCGGGAGAGGACGGGAAACGGGAAAAATCCAGGGGAAAATCCGGAGAGTCCCAGAGAGATCCATTGGAAAAAGCGGAATTCGAATTCCAGGGATTGTTCAGGAGAGCTGGAGAGGGATTTGGGATAAAGGATGGAGGGGCAGGAGCCAGGGAATGGCTTCCAGTGGGAAAGGGGACCTTGGGATGGTGGGATCTTGGGAAGGAATTCCCGGCTGGGCTGGAATTCCCAGAGAATCTCTGGCAGTGTCCAAGGAAAGGCTGGAGCACCTCAGGATCATGGGATTGCAGGTCCATGGATCCATCGAAACCATTCCGGGATTCTGGAATCAAGGACACTCAGGATCCATCCTGAGGGATTTTTATGGAATTCAGGGATGGAAAAGGGAAGGGAAACCCTCCCTGGAGTCCCAAATTCCCAGTGAAGGCCTTGGATCCCGAAATTCCTTTCTGGAAAGGAGTCAGGATGGGGATGGATCCAATGCAGGAGAGCTGGAGAGGGATTTGGGAAAAGCGCCTGGAATGGCAGCACAGGGAATGGCTCCCACCATGGCCAGAGGGTCAGATTTTGGGATTTTGGGATCTTGGGAAGGAATTCCTGGCTGGGCTGGAATTCCCAGAGAATGCCTGGATCCCTGGGAGTGTCCCAGGAAAGGTTGGATCACCCTGGGATGGTGGGAGGTGTCGGGGTTGGGACGGGATGCGATTTGAGGCCCTTTCCCACCCAAACCATTCCAGGATTTCTCATTCCCTATGCCTGCTTTGAACCCAAACCACGGAATATCCGGTTGAGACCCACCAGGATCACCCCTCCAACTCCTGGACACCCCAAAATTCCCACCCGAGCATTTCCCAAACCCTCCGGGATCTCCGGCAGCTTTGTGAACACCCCCATTCCCTTGGGAACCACCGCAGCCTTGGAACGGCCGGGATCCAAAAGATCCCTCGGGAATTCCGGACCTTCCGTGTCCATCTCGCAGAGGACCTCGATGGGAATTCCGCGGACCGAGGGCAGGATGCTGTAAATCCCGGATCTCCGGAGCCCGTTGTAGTAGACGGAAGCGCAGTCGATGGGACAATTCCGGCCGTGTTTGATTTCTGGGAATGGGAACGGGGAGAAACACGCGGTTTTTACAGCTTTTCCCATAAATCTGAAAAAGCTGGGGGAAAAAAAATAATCCTGGATTTGGAGGTTCAGGGGTGAAGTTTTGGAAGTGAGGGTCCAGGTTCCGGTGGCCGCTGGGGATTTTTCCAGGGTTTTACAGAGCCTAAAGGGGATTATTACAGGGGAAATATGAAATTATTCCAGGGAGAATCACAAATCATTCCAGGGAAAATTCAGAATTGTTCCAGAGAGAATCCCAAATTATTCCAGGGAAAATTTGGAATTGTTCCAGGGAGAATCACAAATTATTCCAGGGACAATCCCAAATTATTCTAGGGAGAATCACAAATTATTCCAGGGAAAAGTTGAAATTATTCCAGGGAGAATCACAAATTATTCCAGGGAAAATTTGGAATTGTTCCAGGGAGAATCACAAATTATTCCAGGGACAATCCCAAATTATTCCAGGGAGAATCACAAATTATTCCAGGGAAAAGTTGAAATTATTCCAGGGAGAATCACAAATTATTCCAGGGAAAATTTGGAATTGTTCCAGGGAGAATCACAAATTATTCCAGGGAAAATTTGGAATTGTTCCAGGGAGAATCACAAATTATTCCAGGGAAAATTTGGAATTGTTCCAGGGAGAATCACAAATTATTCCAGGGAAAATTTGGAATTGTTCCAGGGAGAATCACAAATTATTCCAGGGAAAATTTGGAATTGTTCCAGGGAGAATCACAAATTATTCCAGGGAAAATTTGGAATTGTTCCAGGGAGAATCACAAATTATTCCAGGGAAAATTTGGAATTGTTCCAGGGAGAATCACAAATTATTCCAGGGAAAATTTGGAATTGTTCCAGGGAGAATCACAAATTATTCCAGGGAAAATTTGGAATTGTTCCAGGGAGAATCACAAATTATTCCAGGGAAAATTTGGAATTGTTCCAGGGAGAATCACAAATTATTCCAGGGAAAATTTGGAATTGTTCCAGGGAGAATCACAAATTATTCCAGGGAAAATTTGGAATTGTTCCAGGGAGAATCACAAATTATTCCAGGGAAAATTTGGAATTGTTCCAGGGAGAATCACAAATTATTCCAGGGAAAATTTGGAATTGTTCCAGGGAGAATCACAAATTATTCCAGGGAAAATTTGGAATTGTTCCAGGGAGAATCACAAATTATTCCAGGGAAAATTTGGAATTGTTCCAGGGAGAATCACAAATTATTCCAGGGAAAATTTGGAATTGTTCCAGGGAGAATCACAAATTATTCCAGGGAAAATTTGGAATTGTTCCAGGGAGAATCACAAATTATTCCAGGGAAAATTTGGAATTGTTCCAGGGAGAATCACAAATTATTCCAGGGAAAATTTGGAATTGTTCCAGGGAGAATCACAAATTATTCCAGGGAAAATTTGGAATTGTTCCAGGGAGAATCACAAATTATTCCAGGGAAAATTTGGAATTGTTCCAGGGAGAATCACAAATTATTCCAGGGAAAATTTGGAATTGTTCCAGGGAGAATCCCAAATTATTCCAGGGAATAATTGTTCCAGGGAGAATCCCAAATTATTCCAGGGAAAATTCGGAATTGTTCCAGGGAGAATCACAAATTATTCCAGGGAAAATTTGGAATTGTTCCAGGGAGAATCACAAATTATTCCAGGGAAAATTTGGAATTGTTCCAGGGAGAATCCCAAATTATTCCAGGGAAAATTTGGAATTATTCCAGGGAGAATCACAAATTATTCCAGGGAAAAGCTGAAATTATTCTAGGGAGAATCACAAATTATTCCAGGGAAAAGCTGAATTTATTACATGGAGAATCACAAATTGTTCCAGGGAAAATTTGGAATTGTTCCAGTGAGAATCACAAATTATTCCAGGGACAATCCCAAATTATTCTAGGGAGAATCACAAATTATTCCAGGGAAAAGTTGAAATTATTCCAGGGAGAATCACAAATTATTCCAGGGAAAATTTGGAATTGTTCCAGGGAGAATCACAAATTATTCCAGGGAAAATCTGAAATTATTCCATAGAGAATCTCAAATTATTCCAGGGAAAATTTGGAATTGTTCCAGGGAGAATCACAAATTATTCCAGGGACAATCCCAAATTATTCCAGGGAAAAGAACCAAAAACCTGTAAAAAAAATCACTAAAACCAGAGAAATGACAAAATAATTTTGGGTTTTTAAGTTGAAAAAACCCCAAATTTTATGGTAAAAACTCGAAATTTTGGGAAATTTTTTGTGGTTTTTTTGGATGGAAAACACTCCTTGGACTTGTGCAAATTCCAGGTGTGATCCTGAGCACATCCCACACCCACGGAGATGGAAAAGCTACGGAACTGGGATGGAGCTGGATCCCGCCACCATTCCTGATCCCATTCCTGATCCCATTCCTGATTCCATTCCCGCCACCTGGATGCCACATCTCCTCCTGGGAAAGAACCAAAAACCTGGCCAAAAACCAAAAAACAAAAAATTCACTAAAGCCAGAGAAACTACAAAAATTTGTTGGATTTTCAAATGGAAAAAATGAATTTTTAATGGTAAAAACTCCAAATTTCCAGGAATTCTTTGTGGTGTTTTTGGATGTCTAGATTCCCAGAATCTGTGCAAACTCCAGGTGTGATCCTGAGCGCACCCCAAGCCCACGGAGCTGGAAAAGCTACAGAACTGGGATGGAGCTGGATCCCACCACCATTCCTAATCCTATTGCCGATACCATTCCCAATCCCATTCCTGATCCCATTCCCGCCACCTGGATGCCGCATCTCCCTCTGGAAAAGAACCAAAAACCTGGCAAAAAAAAAAAAAAAAAAGAAAAATTCACTAAAAAACCAGAGAAATTACAAAAATTTGTTGGACTTTCAAGTAGAAATAAAAGAATTTTTATGGTAATAACTCCAAATTTCTGGGAATTTTTGGTGGGGTTTTTTTGGATGGAAAACATTCCCAGAATTTGTGCAAACTCCAGGTGTGATCCTGAGCGCATCCCACACCCACAGAGATAGAAAAGCTACGGAACTGGGATGGAGCTGGATTCCGACACCATTCCGGATCCCATTCCCAACACCATTCCCAATCCCATTCCCGGCCCCATTCCCGCCACCTTGATGCTGTATATCCTCCTGGAAAAGAACCAAAAACCTGCCCAAAAAAAAGAAAAATTCACTAAAAAAACAGAGAAATTACAAAAAATTGTTGGGTTTTCGAGTGAAGAAATAGAATTTTTAATGGTAAAAACTTCAGATTTCTAGGAATTTTTTGTGGTTTTTTTGGGTGGAAAATGTTCCAAGAATTTGTGCAAACTCCAGGTGTGATCCTGAGAACATCCTACACCCACGTAACTGGAAAAGTTACAGAAGCCCCCATGGAAGTGGGGGGAGCGGGATCCCATCGCCGTTCTTGATCCCATTCCGGATCCCATTCCCGGCCCCATTCCCGATCCCATTCCCGGCCCCATTCCCGCCACCTGGGTGCCGCATCTCCTCCTGGAGGCGGAGGTCGGCGGGGCTGAGGCAGCTGGGGTTGCGCCAGGCCCAGTCGGCCAGGGCGGAGATGTTGTTGATCTGCGCCTGGATGTCGTAGAGCAGCGTGGCCTGGATGTGCTGCAGCGTGCTGGATTCCCGGGAATGCTGCTCCAGGTCCTGCAGCCTCTGGATCAGGCTCTGGTTCCGCCCCGCCGCCTCCTCCTGCTGTGGGGGGAAAAACAGGATTGGGAATGATGGCAAGCTGGTGGGTTCGTGGATCAAAGATGCCAAGGATTGGGGTTGGAATTCCCATGGTTCCCACTCAGATTGGTGTTCCCAGGATTCTGTGAAGGGAGGGAAGAGCAGGTTGGGAATGTGAGGATGCTGTCCAAACATCTTTTTCATCGGGATATTCCAGTTTGTCCCATTCCCTGGGCAGGGAAACTCCCACTGTCCCAAGGTGATCCAACCTTTCCTTGGACACTGCCAGGGATCCAGGGATTCTCTGGGAATTCCAGCCCAGCCGGGAATTCCTTCCCAAGATCCCACCATCCCAAGCTCCCCTTTCCCACTGGAAGCCATTCCCTGGCTCCTGGCCCTCCAGCCCTTGCCCAAATCCCAGCTCTCCTGGAGCCTCTGGAAAAGGCTCCAAGCATTCCCTGGACCCTTCCCTGATCCCAGTGAACATTCCCAGCTCTCCCAGCCTGGCACTGGATCCATCCCCATCCCAACTCCTCCTGGAGAAGGAATTTTGGGATCCAGGGGCTTCCCTGGGAATTCAGGACTCCAGGAAGGGTCTCCCTTCCCTTTTCCATCCCCAAATTCCATAAAAATCCCTGGGGATGGATCCTGAGTGTCCTTGATCCCAGAATCCCGGAATGGTTTGGGATGGGATCCATGGACCTTCAATCCCACCCCATTCCAACCCCAGTCCCAGGGTGATTCAAACCCTGTCCGGGGACACTGCCAGGGATCCAGGGATTCTCTGGGAATTCCAGCCCAGCTGGGAATTCCTTCCCAAGATCCCACCATCCCAAGTTCCCCCTTCCCACTGGAAGCCATTCCCTGCCTCCTGGCCCTCCAGCCCTTGCCCAAATCCCAGCTCTCCTGGAGCCCCTTGAGGGATTCCCTGGATCCTTCCCTGATCCCAGTGCACATTCCCAGGTCTCCCACCCTCTCCTCATCCAGAGAATTCCAGCCCTGGATGCCCCTAAAGGAACATTCACATCCCTTTCCCTCCTTTTTTCCCCAGGAAAATCAGACTCTGATCCCGTGTAAAATCCAGGGTGAGGCTGGCAGGAGATTCCCAGAGCGGATTCCGGGGGATGAACACCCCGATCCCACCTGGAATGAGCCGCTCTCTCCTTGTTCCCAATTGTTGGCAGATCAGGCTTTATCCAGAAATTCCCAAATCTCGCAGCAGCCTGGGAATTCCCTTCCGCTTCCCAATTCCTGCCGTGGGTCTGGCAGTGGATCCACAGCCCTTCCAAAGGTGAAGGAGATTCCATGGATAAAACTCAAGGATTTGGGGTTGATGCTGAGGAAATTATCCCTGGAAATCTCCTGATCCCAGTTCTGAACCGGCCAAATTCCAGGAGCTGGAAGTGCCCATGGAAAAAATTCTGTGGACACTTTTTCTTGGGATCTCCAGGGCTTTGGGAATGGGATGGATCTGCAGCCCTCAAAAAGGTGGAGGAGATTCCATGGGTGAAACTCAAGAATCTGGGGTTTATGTTGGGGAAATTATTCCTGGAATGCTCCTGATTCAAGTTCCAATCCTGCCAAATTCCAGGAACTGGGAGCGCCAATGGAAAAAACTCCATTAACACTTTTTCTTGGGATCTCCAAGGTTTTGGGAATGGGATAGATCCGCAACCCACCAAAAGGTGGAGGAGATTCCACGGATAAAACTCAAGGGTTGGTTTTGAGGAAATTATCCCTGGAATGCAAGTTCAAACCCTGCCAAATTCCAGGAGCTGGAGGTGCCCATGGAATAAACCCCATGGACATTTTCACATGGATCTGCAGGGTTTGGGGAATGGGATGGATCCACAGCTGAGAAGGATTAAAGGAGGAGATCTCATGGATAAAACTCAAAGATTTGGGACTGATTTTGAGGAAATTAACCCTGGAATCCAAGTTCCAACCCTACCACATTCCAGGAGCTGGAAGCACCAATGGAAAAAATTCCATGGACACCTTCACCTGTATCTCCAGGGCTTTGGGAATGGGATGGACCCACAGACCTTCTAAAGGTGGAGGAGATGCGATGGATAAAACTCAAAGATTTTGGATTGTGTTTGAGGAAATTAACTCCGGTGTCTAAGTTCCAACCCAACCAAATTCCAGGAGCTGGAAGTGCCCATGGAATATATCCCATGGACATTTTTACATGGATCTGCAGGGTTTTGGGAATGGGATGGACCCACAGCCCTTCTAAAGGTGGAGGAGATTCCATGGATAAAACTCAAAGGTTTTGGATTGGTTTTGAGGAAATTACCCCTGGAGTTCCAACCTTACCACATTCCAGGAGCTGGAAGCGCCAATGGAATAAATCCCATGGACAATTTTACCTGGGATCTCCAGGGCCTTGGGAATGGGATGGATCCACAGCTGAGAAGGATTAAAGGAGGAGATTCCATGGATAAAACTCAAGGATTTGGGATTGATTTTGAGGAAATCAACCCTGGTGTCTAAGTTCCAACCCTGCCACATTCCAGGAGCTGGAAGCGCCTACGGAATAACCCCCACGGGCACCCCCTCACCTGTATCTCCAGGGCCTTGAGGCGGTGCCGGTGGTTGCGCAGCTCCTCCTGGAGCTCGGCGATGAGCTCGCGGAGCTCCAGGATCTGCTGCTTGCGCTCCTCGTTCTCGTGCAGCCAGTAGGAGACCTCGTCGGTGCAGCGGAACAGGTCCGGGCAGCGCTGCTCGTCGCCCTGCGGCAGCGTGGCCACGATCCGGCACCGCCCGTCCGGCAGCACCTGGTTGCTGTACTCGCCGCACCGGATCAGCCCCGGAGATCCCCGGGGATCCTCGTGCTCCCGGTAGCCGGCGGGAAGGGATTTCTCCAGGGATTGGCGGCTCAGCGCGGCCACGAGGAGGAGGGAGAGCAATCCCGCTTTTCCCGGGTGGAGTTCCATGAGGGAAGGCGGCGGCGCCGAACCGGGAATAATTCCCGCGATCCCGGGAAATGCGGATTTATGGGATCACAGATCACAGAGATCCGGTGGGGATCTAATCCCGTAGAATTCCAATCTGGGATCAGCTGGGATCCTCCGCTCTCTTAAAACTCCTTGGTCTGCAATTCCCGCCCTCCGGAACGGGTTGGAGGGCGTGGAAGTCGGGATGAAGTGACCAAATTCTTGGGAATTACGGAATTCTGGAATCCTGGCTGCTTGGGATCAGGCGTGGGAAGGAGATGGCTCCCCCAGACTGGGTATCCCGGTATTCTGGAGCTTCCTGGGAATGGGAATCAGAGCAAGGAGATGGATGATGGAAAATTTTTTTGGGAGCAGCATCCAGAGGTGCTGCCAAAATTCCAGGATCCTTCCAGGAATTCCCAAGGAAACACAGCATGGATTAGATCCCACTAAAATTCCCTGTCCCATTCCAGCCATTCCCAAGGATTCAGGATATGGATCAGACCCCTCCCAACATTCCCTATTCCATTCCAGCCATTCCCAGAAAAAAAGGACATGGATTAGACCCCCCCTTCAAAATTCCCAATCCCTCTCCAGCCACTCCCAAGGACATTCATGGATCAGAGCCCTCCCAACATTCCCAGTCTCATTCCAGCCATTCCCAAGGATTCAGGACAGGGATTAGACCCCCCCAAAATTCCCCATCCCACTCCCAAGGACATCCAAGGATCAGACCCCTCTCAACATTCCCTATCCCATTCCAGACATTCCCAAAGATTCAGAACATGAATCAGACCCCTCAGAACATTCCTTATCCGATTCCAACCATTCCCAAGCATTCAGGACATGGATCAGACACCTCCCAACATTCCCTGTCTCATTCCAGCCATTCCCAAGGATTCATCCCATGGATTAGACCCCTCCAAAATTCTCTATCCCATTCCCAGTGCCATCCATGGATTACACCCCCCCCCCTCAAAATTCCTTATCCCACTCCAGCCCTTCCCAGGAAAAAAAACCCCATTGATTAGACCCCTCCCAACATTCCCTATCCCGTTCCAGCTCTTCCCAAGCATTCAGGATTCATGGATTAAACCCCTCCCACCATTCCCTGTCCCATTCCAAACATTCCCAAGGATCCAGGATTCATGGATCAGACCCCTCCCAACGTTCCCTATCCCACTCCAGCCATTCCCAAGGATTTAGGACATGGATTAGACTCAATCCCCCCCCACTCAAAATTCCCAGTCCCATTCCAGCCATTCCCAGGGATTCAGGACAGGGATTTGACTCCTCCCAACATTCTCAATTCTGTTCCAGCCATTCCCAAGCATTCAGGATTCATGGATCAGACACCTCCCAACATTCCCAATCCCACTCCAACCATTCCTAAAGATTCAAGATTCATGGATTAAACCCCTCCCAACATTCCTAATCCCATTCCAGCCATTCCCAAGGATTCAGGACAGGGATTAGACCCCTCCAAAATTCCCTTTCCCATTCCCAGTGCAATCTCTGGACTAGAACCCTCCCTCAAAATTCCTTATCCCACTCCAGCCCTTCCCAGGAAAAAAAATCCCCATGGATTAGACCCCTCCCAACATTCCCTGTCCCATTCCAAACATTCCCAAGTATTCAGAATTCATGGATCAGACCCTCACAACATTCCCTATCCCACTCCAGCCATTCCCAAGGATTTAGGACATGGATTAGACTCAATCCCCCCCCTACTCAAAATTCCCAGTCCCATTCCACCCGTTCCCAAGGATTCAGGACATGGATCAGACCCCTCCCAACATTCCCAATCCCACTCCAGCCATTCCCAGAAAAAAAAGGACATAGATTAGGACTCCCAACATTCCCAATCCCACTCCAGCCATTCCCAAGGATTCAGGATTCATGGATCAGACCCCCTGGAAATTCCCAGTCCCATTCCACCTATTCCCAAGGATTCAGGACAGGGATTCGACCCCTCCCAACATTCCCTATCCCCTTCCAGCCCTTCCCAAGGACATCCACGGATTAGACAACCCCCCTCCCTCCCTCAAAATTCCCTATCCCATTCCAGCCATTCCCAGGAAGGAAAAGACCCATGGATTAACCCCCCCACACACCCAGAATTCCTTATCCCACTCCAGCCATTCCCAGGAAGAAAAAAAAAAAGGATTAACCCCCCCACACCCAGAATTCCTTATCCCACTCCAGCCATTCCCAGGAAGGAAAAGACCCATGGATTAACCCCCCCCCACCCCCAGAATTCCTTATCCCACTCCAGCCATTCCCCGGAAGAAAAAAAAATCAGGACATGGATTACACACACCCAAAATTCCCTATCCCACTCCAGCCATTCCCAGCAAAAAACCCCAACGCGTTCCACCCCCCCCCGAAACAATTCCCTGCGTCTCTTCCCAACTTTTCTTGGTAAGAAACTCCGGGGGACCCCCCAGATCCCCCCCGAAATTCCCGGCTCACCTGGGAGCCTCCAGGCCGGACCCTCCGGGAGCGGCCGGCGCCGGCTCCGTCCGGCCGCCCGACCCTTGATTCCCGCTGATCCTCTCAGGGCTCTAAAAATAGGGATGGGTGATCCGCCGGCGGGAAGGAGGATCCCCGGGAGCCCCGGCCTGACCTTCTCAGCCCGCCCGGGATTATTCCGGGATAGCGGGAGAGCCGCGGGGCTCCGCTCGGAGCCGGTGCGGGGCTGGCCCCGCTCCCGGCGCTGAGTTATTCAGCCCCTCCTTCCTCCCCCTCCTCCCCTTCCTTCCCTCCTCCTCCTCTTTGCCCTCTCCGCTCCCTGTCCCCTTTCCTTTCCTTTCCTTTCCTTTCCTTTCCTTTCCTTTCCTTTCCTTTCCTTTCCTTTCCTTTCCTTTCCTTTCCTTTCCTTTCCTCTCCCTTTTCTCTCCGTTTTCTCCCCCTTTTTCCTCCCTTCCCCCCCTTTTTTCCCCTTTTCCACCCTTCCCCCATTTTGTCTCCCTTTTCCCCCCTTTTTCCCTTTTTTCCCTTTTTTCCCTTTTCCCCTTTTTTCCCTTTTCCCCTTTTCCCCTTTTTTCCCTTTTTCCCCTTTTCACCTTTTACCCTTTTCCCCCTTTTCCCTTTTTCTCCTCTTCACCTTTTTCCCCTTTTCCCCTTTCCCCCCTTTGCTCCTTTCCCATTTTCCCCCTTTCCCTTTCCCCCCTTTTCATTTTCCCCTCTTTTTCCCCTTTTCCTTTTCCCCCCTTTTCTCCTTTTACCCTTTTCCCTCTTTTCCCATTTTCCCTTTTCCCCTTTTTCCCCTTTCCCCCTTTTTCCCCTTTCCCCCTTTTCATTTTTCCATCTTTTTTCCCATTTTCCCCCTTTTCCCCTTTTCCCCTTTTCCCCCTTCCCCCTTTTTCCCTTTTTTCCCTTTTTCCCCTTTTCCCTTCCCAGCTGCAGGAATTTGGGTGTGGAGAAACTTCCTTTCCAACAAAGAACAATGCCATTTCTAAACATGATAATACCATATAAAACTATCCATGTACTTTTTTATTGAATGATACAGGAGAGAGCTTTACTTATTGTATGGCACAGTGGAGATTTGAAGAATACAGACTTTAGTTTCTTAAAGATTAAATTTTCCCCCTTTTCCCCTTTTCCCCCTTCCCCCTTTCTCCCTTTTTTTCCTTTTTCCCCTTTTCCCTTCCCAGCTGCAGGAATTTGGGTGTGGGGAAACTGAGGCAGAGCTCCACGGGATCCGCAGGCCCCGCCCTTCCCAAAAAATCCCGGGAATGTCGCGGAAGAACCGAGGAAGAAAAGGAAGGAAAGAAAAGGAAGAAAAGCAGGAAAAGGAGGAAAATTTGAAAGGTGGAAACGAAGGCAACAAAATCGGGAAAAACAAACAACTAAAAAAAAAACCAAAACCAAAAAAAATCCCCAAAAACAAAAACAAAATAAACATCAAAAAACCCCCAAGAAACAAAAAAAAAATATAAAAAAAACCACAAAAAAAATTAAAAATAAGAAGAAAAACTGGGGAAAAACAGGGAAGAGGAGGAAAATGAGGGAAAACCCAGGATGGATCCGGGAATTCTTTGGGATCTTTAATGGGAAGGGCGGAATCTCGGGGCCCCCCTGGACCAGGGTCTGATCCCGGAGTTCCTCTCCGGCTTCAGGGATGTTCCCACCTGGAATGGGCGATCCCAAATCCTCCTTCGGGTCCGGACGCGCTCCCAGTTCAAACCCGAGGCTCCAAGGGAGGAATTTTCCGCCTTTTCCATGGATTTTTCCCGCTGCCGGGATCGCAGCTCCTCCCAATGCCGTCCTTTAGAGGGCACCAAGAGCTCGGGAATCGCATCCCCGGGAGCTCCCGAGGGAGGAATTCCTGCCCCAAATCCCGCCCGCTGGCACGGGGGGGCCATTCCCGGTGTCCCGGCATTCCAGGATTCCCTGCCCGGCTGGGATTTGGGATCCCGGGAAAAGGGCGAGGCTGGAATATCGGGATGGAGCCGGGATTGTGGGGGAAATCACGGGAAGGAATTTTAAAGGGAAATTTGGGATTTTGGGAAGGAATTCCCGGCTGGGAGGGCGGGGAGGGGCTGGGCTGGAATTCCCAGGGAATCCCGGCGAGTGTCCAAGGAAAAGCTGGGATGGTGGGAGGGGTCCCCGCCCATGGAAGGGGGGTGGAACTGGAAAATCCTGGAATTCCCTTCCCACAAAAACCATCCCGGAATCCGAAGATCCCCTGGGATCACCCCTCAAGGAACGTCCCCCCCATTCCTGTTCCCTGGATCCTCCCGTTCCGGCTGCGGGGGTCCCGTTGTCCATAAAATCCTGGAATTGCGGCGCCTGGAAAAGCCCTGGGATCCAACCATCCCCAGCCCTGATCCCCGATCCCCCAAATCCAAGGGATTCCAATCCCTCCTGGAAAGGCAGGAAAACCTTTCCAGGCGGGAATTGTTCCCAAAATCCAACCGAACCTCCCTGGGTGCGAATTCCACCTGCAAATTCCACCTGGAAGTTCCTGGGAATGCCGGATCAGCGCCTGCCCTGGAGGTTTTCCATAAAAAATTCCAGCTGGGAGCCAGGAACGAGCTCGGGGAGAGATTCCCGAGGGAAAACACCAGCGGGAAAACCTGGGAAAGGGAAATTCCTCATAGAAATCCCTCCCGGAATTGTCTCCATGGGTGGCAAGGCGCAAATCCAACCCCATTCCATGGGGGAAGCAAATCCTTCCCCGATCCCAGCGAGCTCCAGCCCGGCCTGGCGCATTCCAGGGATCCAGAGGATTTGGGATCCGCTCCCGGCTCCGATCCAGCTCCTCCCGCCCGGGATCCGCAGGTTTGGGATCAGCTTTGGGGCTCTGGGTGTCTTTTCCAGCCCCACATTCCCAAAGAAACGGCTCGGATCCCGCTCTGCTCCCGCCTGGTTGGAATTCCTGCTCCCCGAGGGTTTTCCCTCCTCGGCAGCTCCAGAATTCCATGGAATGATTTCAGCTGCGGTGACACCAGCCGGCATTCCCGGCTCCGGAGCGGTTTTTATTCCCTTTTAATCATTTAAAATCCCTTTTTCCCCTCCCTCATCCCGCTTTTCCAGCAGAACCCAGAGGAGCAGGGCTGGAATCCATCGCGGAACAAATCCAGGGATGGAAACAGAGGAGGAGGAAAAGCAGCCAAATTCCGCTGGAATCTCCCGAAATCCAGGAAAACATCCCCAAATTCGGCCTTCCCTGGATTAAAACCAAATCCAGGCCCTTCCCTTCGTCCCGGATTGCCATTCCCTGCTCCCGCAGAGCCGAGGCCAAAGGGTTGGGATCATCCCAGACGCTCCCTCTGCCGCTCCGTGCCTCAGTTTCCCCGCGGGTGCGGCTCTCCCGCGGGCCGGGAATTGGGAGCGGAAGGATGGAAATGCCCTGGAACCGGGACACGGATCCGCCTCCTCCCCTCGGGCCGGAATTCCAGGGGAAAACTCCGCCCTTTTTCCTGGAGAGAACTTGGGGGATGCTCCTGGGGATATTCCAGCCCCGGCTTCCCGCGGGAATGTTCCAGCCCCGATTCCTCCAGTCCCGGTTCCATTTCCCGGGAATATTCCAGCCCCAAATCCCCATTTCTCCATTCCCAGGAATATTCCAGCCCCGATTCCCCATTTCTCCATTCCCGGGAATATTCCAGCCCCGAATCCCCATTTCTCCATTCCCGGGAATATTCCAGCCCCAAATCCCCATTTCTCCATTCCCGGGAATATTCCAGCCCTATTCCGCCTGTCCATGACCGGATTTCCCGGGAAATGCCCCTGTCCCGCTTTCCCGGTCCCGTTTTTCCCGGGAGTTGCTCCAGCTCCGTTCCCCGTGTCCCGGTACCCCCGGGAGAAATTTCCACCCCGGTTTCCCTTATCCCGTTTTATTCCAGCCCCAAATCCCCATTTCTCCATTTCCCGGGAATATTCCAGCCCTATTCCGCCTGTCCATGACCGGATTTCCCGGGAGATGCCCCTGTCCCGGTTTCCCTTATCCCGTTTTCCCCGGGAGATGCTCCCATCCCTGTTTCCCCTATCCCGGTACCCCCGGGAGGTGCTTCTGTCCCGCTTCCCCCTGTCCCGGTTCCCCCTGTCCCGGTTCCCCCGGGAGATTCCCCTGTCCCGCTCCCCCGGTCCCGGTTCCCCGGGAGTTTCCCATCCCGTTTTTCCCGGAGCACGCTCCGCTCCCGGTTCCCTCCTGCCCTGGCCCTGTCCCGGTCCCCTTATCCCGGTTCCCTTGTCCCGGTCCCCTTGTCCCGGTCCCCTTGTCCCGGTTCCCTTGTCCCGGTTCCCCTGCCCCGCTCCCCCTGTCCCGGTTTTCCCATCCCGTTTTTCCCGGAGGACGCTCCGTTCCCCGTTCCCTCCTGCCCTGGCCCTGTCCCGGTTCCCCCTGTCCCGGTTCCCCCGGGAGATTCCCCTGTCCCGGTTCCCCTGTCCCGCTCCCCCTGTCCCGCTCCCCCGGTCCCGGTTCCCCGGTTGCTATCCCGGTTCTCCCTGTCCCGGTTGCTATCCCGGTTCTCCCTGTCCCGGTTGCTATCCCGGTTCTCCCTGTCCCGGTTGCTATCCCGGTTCTCCCTGTCCCGGTTGCTATCCCGGTTCTCCCTGTCCCGGTTGCTATCCCGGTTCTCCCTGTCCCGGTTGCTATCCCGGTTCTCCCTGTCCCGGTTGCTATCCCGGTTCTCCCTGTCCCGGTTGCTATCCCGGTTCTCCCTGTCCCGGTTGCTATCCCGGTTCTCCCTGTCCCGGTTGCTATCCCGGTTCTCCCTGTCCCGGTTGCTATCCCGGTTCTCCCTGTCCCGGTTGCTATCCCGGTTCTCCCTGTCCCGGTTGCTATCCCGGTTCTCCCTGTCCCGGTTGCTATCCCGGTTCTCCCTGTCCCGGTTGCTATCCCGGTTCTCCCTGTCCCGGTTGCTATCCCGGTTCTCCCTGTCCCGGTTGCTATCCCGGTTCTCCCTGTCCCGGTTGCTATCCCGGTTCTCCCTGTCCCGGTTGCTATCCCGGTTCTCCCTGTCCCGGTTGCTATCCCGGTTCTCCCTGTCCCGGTTGCTATCCCGGTTCTCCCTGTCCCGGTTGCTATCCCGGTTCTCCCTGTCCCGGTTGCTATCCCGGTTCTCCCTGTCCCGGTTGCTATCCCGGTTCTCCCTGTCCCGGTTGCTATCCCGGTTCTCCCTGTCCCAGTTCCTGTCCCAGTTCTCCCTGTCCCGGTTCCTATCCCAGTTCTCCCTGTCCCAGTTTCCCCAGGGAAAGTTCTTGCCCCGAATCCCTGTGGGGCATTTTTGCCCTGACATTCCCAGGGGATGCTCCTGTTCCTGGTTCACCCTATCCCGGTTCCTATCCTGGTTCCTATCACAGTTCCTATTCCAGCTCTTATCCTGGATCCCCTGTCCCAGATCCTGTCCCAGATCCCCTGTCCCGGTTCCTATCCCAATTCCCCCTGTCCTGGTTCCCATCCCAGTTCTCCCAACCCCAGTTCCTATCCCGGTTCCTATCCCACTTCGGGGAGGGCTACCGAGTATCCTGGTTCCCATCACCGTTCCTATCCCAGCTCTTATCCCAGTTCCTATCCCAGATCCCCGGTCCCGGTTCCTATCCCGGATCCCCCTGTCCCAGTTCCTATCCCAATTCTCCCAGTCCCAGTTCCTATCCCAGTTCTCCCTATCCCAGTTCCTATCCCAGTTCTCCCAGTCCCGGTTCCTGTCCCAGTGTCCCGGGTCAATCTCTGTTTCTCCGTATCCCGCTTCCCCCGGGATGCTCCTTCCCCGTTCCCCATTCCCGTCCCTGCGGGGGATTTGAGAGCCCCTCTGGAATTCCCGGATGGTTTCTCCCCTTGGAAGTGGGAGCGGAGCTGGGAGTGCTGCTGGTGTAACGGGGGTGGGGGTGACAAACCCCAGCGGCACAACGTTCCCAGGGAAAACAGAATCCATGGATCTGCGCCTGCCCCAAACCCCGTCCAGCCAGCCTTGGGCACTGCCGGGGATCCAGGGATTCTCTGGGAATTCCAGCCCAGCCGGGAATTCCTTCCCAAGATCCCACCATCCCAAGCTCCCCTTTCCCACTGGAAGCCATTCCCTGCCTCCTGGCCCTCCAGCCCTTGCCCAAATCCCAGCTCTCCTGGAGCCTCTGGAAAAGGCTCCAAGCATTCCCTGGATCCTTCCCTGATCCCAGTGAACATTCCCAGCTCTCCCAGCCCTGGAGCAGCTCCGGGCTCTCCTCTCCAGCTCCGTGTCCCGCAGATTTTGGAATTCCGGAGCTGCAGGTGGGGTTGCACCTGCCCCATCACAATGCCAGAGCCGGGATTGGGATTGGGATTAGGATTGGCATTGGGATTGGGATTGGGATTAGGATTAGGATTGGGATTGGGATAGGGGTTGGGATCGGGATTGGGATTGGGACTGGGATTGGGATCGGGATTGGGGTTGGGATCGGGATTGGGGTTTGGATTGGGATTGGGATTGGGATGTGCCGAGGCCCAGCCCCGTGGCACATTCCCGTTTTCCTCCAGCAGGATGGAGAGCAAGGCCGTGGATCTCCACACCTTCTCCGAGCGGGAGAACGGATCCGTGCTGGAGGAGCCCTTGGAGGGACGGAGCCTTTCCAAGCTGAACCTCTGCGAGGATGGTGAGCGCGGATCCGCCTCGGGATCCACTCGGGATCCGCCTCTGGATCCACCCCAGGTTCCACCTTGGAATCCACCTCTGGATCCACTTTGGATCTGCCTCTGGATCCACCTCTGGATCCACCTGTGGATCCACTTCTGGATCCGGCTCCAGATCCACCCCTGGTTCCACCTTGGAATCCTCCTCTGGATCCACTCGGGATCTGCCTTGGGATCCGTGTCTGGATCCACTTCCAGATCCACCTTTGGATCCACCCCAGGATCTGTCTCCAGATCCACCCCTGGTTCTGCCTCAGAATCCACCTCTGGATCCACCTGGGGTGGATCTGCCTCTGGATCCACCCTTGGATCCTCCTCTGGATCCACCTCTAAACCCACCTGCAGGCTCTCCCCAGGATCCACTTTGGGATCCACCTTGGGATCCACCCCACAATCCAGCTCTGGATCCACCACAGGGTCCACCTTGGGATCCACCTCCTGATCCACCCCTGGATCCACCTCAGGATCCACCCCATGATCCACCTCCAGATTCACCTCTGGATCTGCCTCTGGATCCACCCCCGGATCCCCCCCCGGATCCACCTCGGGATCCCCCCAGGATCCGCCTTGGGATCCACCTCGGGATGCCCCCGGGACGCCCGGCGGGAGCGCGCAGAGCCCGCGGGAGCTGGGATTCCTGGGGAAGGAGCTCCGGATGTGGCTCCTGGCGGGCACAGGAGGCCGGGATGAGCTCAGCGCTCAGCTCCGGGCTCCGGCCGGGATTCCCAGCCCTGGGAATGGTGGATTCCGTGGTGGGAGCAGCACCGGGAGGTGTCCTGGCCTTGGCCCAGGTTTTCCAGGGATTCTGCGGTTCCCCATCCCTGGCAGTGCCCAAGGAAAGGTTGGAGAGGGCTTGGAGCAGCCTGGGATCGTGGGAGGTGTCCCTGGGATGGGATTGAAGGTCTATGGATCCCATCCCAAACCATTCTGGGATCAAGGACACTCAGGATCCATCCCCAGGGATTTTTATGGAATTCGGGGATGGAAAAGGGAAAGGAGACCCTTCCTGGAGTCCCAAATTCCCAGGGAAGCCCCTGGATCCCAAAATTCCTTCTCCAGGAGGAGTCGGGATGGGGCTGGATCCAGTGCCAGGCTGGGAGAGCTGGGAATGTTCACTGGGATCAGGGAAGGGACCAGGGAATGCTTGGAGCCTTTTCCAGAGGCTCCAGGAGAGCTGGGATTTGGGCAAGGGCTGGAGGACCAGGAGGCAGGGAATGGCTTCCAGTGGGAAAGGGGAGCTTGGGATGGTGGGATCTTGGGAAGGAATTCCCGGCTGGGAGGTGGGGAAGGGCTGGCTGAGCTGGCAACATCCAGCTCCGGATAAATTCCTGCTGGGAATGCTGCAAGGAACTCATGGAGGTGACTCCAAGGGGACCTGCGGGGGTAGGGACAGCTTTCCCACCCAGGAGATCCCTGAGTGTTGATCCCATTCCCAAAATCTCTGCTCCTGTCTCTTTCCACTTCCCAATCCTGCTGCTCCCATCCCTTCCCAGTGGGAAACCGCTGGAAGAGCCGGGAGGGAAGAGCTGGAGCCCCCCCAGGACTGATCCCAGAATTCCCAGCAAATCCCCTCCCTGCCTTTGGGGTTTTGATGGAATTCCGCCTGGAATTCTCGGGGCTCATCCCAAGGCGGGGCTCACCCCATTCCCAGGGGAGAGATCCCTGGAGCGGGATTTCTGGGAAGGGGCAGGAGCAGCGTCACCCCCCAGGGTGGGACCACCCGGATCCCGCCCGAATTCATGGAAAACTCCCGCGGGAAGGGACGAGGATCCATCGGGAGCGCGATCCAATCCTCCTGCTGGCCAGGAACGGCGTCCCCGCGCCTTTTCCAGGGTTTCGGGGAGCCCGAATCCCGGAATCCCGGCTGTTTTCCTCCTCCCGCTCCCCGGAGCCTGGGCAGGGGCAGGAAATGTTCGCTTTTCCTTGGATCCCGGCCCTCTCCACGGGCAAACGCTGCCGGCCGCGCTTCCAAGGGCCGGGAATGGGAGTGGGTGGATCGGGGCGCGCCGCCAGCCCCTCCCGGGCTGTCCCGGGAGACGCTGGAAGCGCCAAAAGTCAGGAAAACATCGGCGCCCTCCTCACCCCGCGGCTCCTTCCCAGGAACTCTGGGCGGGGAGCGGGGGATGGGATCCAGCTGGAGCATCCCGGGTCCCACCTGAGCCGCATTCCCGCGGGATCCATCCCGCAGCTCATCCCCGGGCTCCGGAGTTTCGGGATCCGCCCACCGTAACCCCTTCCCGGCTGGAGCTTTTCCAGGCATCCCTGTTCTCCCGGGAGGGACACGCGGGGACAGCCCTGGAGCTCGGGGAGGACCAGGGAAAGGGTCCCTGGAATTCTGGGATCTCCCCATCCAGGGGTTCCGTCGCTGGAATTCCAGGGAGCAGCTCGATCCCACTGGGATGGGGCGAGACCCCACCTGGGCCTGGCGGGGATGGGGCAGGCTGGAGCTGGGAATTGTCCTGGGATGGGATCCCAAATCCCAGCGGGAATGGCCCAGGCTGGAGCTGGGAATTGTCCTGGGATGGGATCCCAAATCCCAGCGGGAATGGCCCAGGCTGGAGCTGGGAATTGCTGTGGGATGGGATCCCAAATCCCAGTGGGAATTGGATCCTAAATCCCAGTGGGAATGGCCCAGGCTGGAAGTGGGAACTGCTCTGACAGGGAATGAGATCCCAAATCCCAGCAGGGATGGCCAAGGTGGAAGTGGGAATTGCCGTGGGATGGGATCCCAAATCCCAGTGGGAATGGGCCAGGCTGGAAGTGGGAATTGCTGTAGGATGTGATCCCAAATCCCAACAGGGATGGGATCCCAAATCCCAGCAGGAATGGGCCACGCTGGAAGTGGGAATTGCTCTGACAGAGAATGGGATCCCAAATCCCAGTGGGAATGGCCCAGGCTGGAGCTGGGAATTGCCATGGGAATGGGATCCCAAATCCCAGCAGGAATGGGATACCAAATCCCAGCGGGAATGGCCAGGGTGGAGCTTGGAATTGCTCTGACAGGGAATGGGATCCCAAATCCCAGTGGGAATGGCCCAGGCTGGAGCTGGGAATTGCCATGGGAATGGGATCCCAAATCCCAGCAGGAATGGGATACCAAATCCCAGTGGCATTGGCCAAGGTGGAAGTGGGAATTGCTCTGACAGGGAATGGGATCCCAAATCTCAGCAGGGATGGGGCAGGCTGGAGGTGGGAATTGCCGTGGGATGGGATCCCAAATCCCAGTGGGAATGGGCCAGGCTGGAGCTGGGAATTGCCATGGGAATGAGATCCCAAATCCTAGTGGGAATGGGATCCCAAATCCCAGTGGGAATGGCCCAGGCTGGAAGTGGGGAATTGCCCTGGGTTGGATCCCAAATCCCAGCGGGAATGGGATCCCAAATCCCAGCAGGAATGGCTCAGGCTGGAGCTGGGAATTGCCATGGGATGGGATCCCAAATCCCAGTGGGAATGGCCAAGGCTGGAAGTGGGAATTGCTCTGACAGGGAATGAGATCCCAAATCCCGGCAGGGATGGGCCAGGTTGGAGCTGGGAGTTGCTGTGGGATGGGATCCCAAATCCCAGTGGGAATTGGATCCTAAATCCCAGTGGGAATGGCCCAGGCTGGAAGTGGGAACTGCTCTGACAGGGAATGAGATCCCAAATCCCAGCAGGGATGGCCAAGGTGGAAGTGGGAATTGCCGTGGGATGGGATCCCAAATCCCAGTGGGAATTGGGAATTGCCATGGGATGGGATCGCAAATCCATCCAGGGATGGGATCCCAAATCCCAGCAGGAATGGGCCAGGCTGGGGCTGGGAATTGCCATGGGAATGGGATCCCAAACCCCAGCAGGGATGGGATCCCAAATCCCAGCAGGAATGCTCCAGGCTGGATCCGGCCGTGGATCAGCGCTGTCTCCATCCAGGAGGTTTGGATTTGGGGTTCCCCTCTCCTGCGGGATGAGGGGCTCTGGGTCGGAGCCTCGGGGCTCCCAGAGGCACAGAACACCCGGATGGAGGCTCCAGGTGGGAATTCTGCGCTTTTCCTCCTCTTCCGTTGGTGTCTCCTTGGGGAAACTCGGATCTGGGAAAGGGCAAATAGAGCAGGAGTGAAAATGCTGGGAAAATCTGCTCCCAGAAACCCGGTGTTCCTGCCAGGGTCCAACAGGGAATGCCTTGGGTGGGAAGAGACCTCCAAACCCATCCCATTCCATGGAGAGGGACACTTCCCACCATCCCGGGGTGCTCCAAGCCCATCCAACCTTTCCTTGGGCACTGCCAGGGATCCAGGGATTCTCTGGGAATTCCAGCCCAGCCGGGAATTCCTTCCCAAGATCCCACCATCCCAAGCTCCCCTTTCCCACTGGAAGCCATTCCCTGCCTCCTGGCCCTCCAGCCCTTGCCCAAATCCCAGCTCTCCTGGAGCCTCTGGAAAAGGCTCCAAGCATTCCCTGGATCCTTCCCTGATCCCAGTGAACATTCCCAGCTCTCCCAGCCTGGCTCTGGATCCTGCCCCATCCCGATTCCTCCTGGAGAAGGAAATTTGGGATCCAGGGGCTGCCCTGGGAATTGGGGACTCCAGGAAGGGTCTCCCTTCCCTTTTCCATCCCTGAATTCCATAAAAATGCCTCGGGATGGATCCTGAGTGTCCTTGATCCCAGAATCCTGGAATGGTTTGGGATGGGATCCAGGGACCTTCAATCCCATGATCCCAGGATGATCCAAATCCACCCTTGGGCACTTCCAGGGATCCAGGGATTCTCTGGGAATTCCTTCCCAAGATCCCACCATCCCAAGCTCCCCTTTCCCACTGGAAGCCATTCCCTGCCTCCCGCCCCTCCAGCCCTTGCCCAATCCCAGCTCTCCTGGAGTCCCTTGGGATGGGGAAGCGGCTCCCGGGATTCCCTGGAGCTCAGGGATTTCCTTGGAGCCGCATCCCACGGGATTTCCCTGCTGGGAAGCCCATCCTGGCTCCATCCCGAGGATCCCGGAACGCTTTGGGTGGGAAGGGACCCCCAATCCCGCCCCATTCCCGCCATTCCCAGGTGGCTCCAACCCCTCCCAGCCTCTCCTCGGGCGCTTCCAGGGATGGATCCCGGGGTGATCCCGGCATTCCCGGCGTTCCAAGGCTCTGCTGATCCGTGTTCTGCTCCCTCGGCAGATCCCGGCCCGAGGAGGCGGCCCTGGCCCTGCCGCGGCCGGGTGGGCTCGGTGGCGGCGCTGAAATATTCCGTGGTGGGGCTCTACCTCCTGGTGCTCCTCATCCTGGTGGGAATCTTCATCCTGGCAGGTGAGGCTGGCCCCGCTCCCCGCCCGGAACTTCCAGAAGCTTCCGTGGAATCCCGGCCCGGGAGGGTTTTTGGGTCATCCCGGGGAGGGGAAGGTGGGATCCAGCAGAAAAAGAAACAACCAGGCCAACAAAAAAAGCCAAGACCCATAAAAACCCCAAAGAATTCTTAAAAAAACCCCCCCCAAAAAAAACAAAAAAAAACAAAAAAAAAACCCCATTAAAACCCCAAAGAATTCTAAAAAACAAAAAAAAAATCTCGGGAAAAAAAAAACCAAAAACCCATTAAAACCCCAAAAAATTCTTAAAAAAACAAAAAAAAACCCCATTAAAACCCCAAAAAATTCTTAAAAAAACAAAAAAAAACCCCATTAAAACCCCAAAAAATTCTTAAAAAAACAAAAAAAAACCCCATTAAAACCCCAAAGAATTCTAAAAAACATTAAAAAAAATCTCGGGGGAAAAAAAAAACCAAAAACCCATTAAAATCCCAAAGAATTCTAAAGGTATCCCCCAAAATCCATAAAAGATCCCAAAGAATTAAAAAAAAATCCCCCCAAATATCCAAAAAAACACCAAAAACCCATAAAACCCCCAAAGAATTAAAAAAAATTTTAAATTAAATTTAAAAAAACCAAACAAAAACCCATTAAAACCCCAAAGAATTCTAAAAATAAAATTAAAAAAAATCTCTGGAAAAAAACCAAAAACCCATTAAAACCCCAAAAATTCTAAAGGTACCCCCAAAAAACCCCAAGATTCCATAAAAACCCTAAGAACTCAAAAAAAATCCCCCCAAATATCCAAAAAAACACCAAAAACCCATAAAACCCCCAAAGAATTTAAAAAAAAATTAAAATTAAATTTAAAAAAACCAAACAAAAACCCATTAAAACCCCAAAGAATTCTAAAACAAAATTTTAAAAAATCTCTGGAAAAAAACCCCATTAAAACCCCAAAAATTCTAAAGGTTCCCCCAAAAAATCCCAAAACTTAAACCCCCAAAGAATTCTAAAAATAATTTTAAAAAATCTCTGGGAAAAAAACCCAAAAACCCATTAAAACCCCAAAGAATTCTAAATCTACCCCCCAAAAACCCCCAAACCCCCTAAAAGATCCCAAGGAATTCCAAAAAAATCCCTCCAAATATCTAAAAAAACACCAAAAACCCATAAAAACCCCAAAGAATTTTAAAAAAAATCCCTCCCCAAAACCCCAAACCCATAAAAAAACCTCCAAAGAATTCTAAATAATACCCCCCAAAAAAACAAAAAAAAAACCCCAAACCCATAAAAACTCCCAAAGAATTCTAAAAAATACCAACAAAAACCCAAAAACTCATTAAAAACCCTAGAAATTCTAAAAATACCCCCAAAGAAAACCCAAATAAGCCCAAAACCCCATAAAAAACCCCAAAGAATTCCAAAAGAATCCCCCAACAATCAGAAAAAAAACCCCAAACCCATTAAAAACCCCTAGTTATTCTAAAAATTTTTGGGAAAAGACCAAAAAAACCCCAGAAGCCATAAAAAAAACCCCAAAGAATTGGGAAAAAACCCCAAAAACAAAACAAAACAAAAAACACCAAATCCCATAAAAAACCCATTAAATACCCATTACAAACCCATTAAAAAACCCCAAGAATTCGAAATAATTAAAAAAAATTCCAAAACCACCCTAAACCCCATAAAAAAACCCATAACCACCCATAAAAAACCCATTTAAACCCCATATTAAAACCCCAACAATTTGGAAAATAAAAACTCCAAAAAATCTGAAAAGCCCTCAAAAACCCATAAAAGACACAAAACCCCACCATTTAAAACCCATTTAAAAATCCTAAAAATTTGGAGGAAAAAAAAAACCAAAACAAAACCCCAACAAAAATCCCAAAATCCCCCAAAAACCCATAAGAAACCCATAAAACAAACATTAAAAAAACATTAAACACCATTAAAACCCCAAAGAATTCGGAACCTTCCCTCCTCCAAAAAATCCCCAAAACCCTCAAAACCCCATAAGAAACCCATTAAAAAACCCCCAAAAATTTGGGAAAAAAACCCCAAAAAAATCCCAAAATCCCACAAAAACCCACAAAAAACCCATGAAAAAAACCATTAAAACCCCAAAAAATGGAAAAAAAAAATCCCAAAACCCCATAAAAAACCCCATAAAAACCCCATTAAAAACCCCAAAGAATCAAAAAAAAAAATCCCAAAACCCCATAAAAACCCATAAGAAACCCATTAAAAAACCCATTAAAAAACCCATTAAAAAACCCATTAAAAAACCCATTAAAAAACCCATTAAAAAACCCATTAAAAAACCCATTAAAAAACCCATTAAAAAACCCATTAAAAAACCCATTAAAAAACCCATTAAAAAACCCATTAAAAAACCCATTAAAAAACCCATTAAAAAACCCATTAAAACCCCAAAGAATTCGAAACCCTCCGTCCTCCAAAATATCCCCAAAACCCTCAAAACCCCATAAGAAACCCATTAAAAACCCCCAAAAATTTGGGAAAAAAAAACCAAAAAAATCCCAAAATCCCACAAAAACCCACAAAAAACCCATGAAAAAACCATTAAAACCCAAAAAAATTAGAAAAAAAACCCCAAAAATCCCCAAAACCCATAGAAAACCATTAAAAACCCCAAGAATTCGTAAAAAACCCAAAAGCAAAAAATCCCAAAAACTCATTTAAAAAAACCATTAAAAACCCATTTAAAACCCCAAAGAATATGGGAAAAAATCCCAAAACCCCCCCAAAACTCATTAAAAACATTAAAAAGCCATTAAAAACCCCAAAGAATTCGGGAAAAAAAAATCCCAAAAACCCATAAAAACCCCATTAAAAAAAAATTTAAAAAACAAACAAAAAAAAAAACCCAACCAATCCTAAAACCCCAAAAACCCATAAAAAACTCATTAAAAAACCATTAAAAAACCATTAAAAACCCCAAATAATTTGGAAAAAAACCAAAAAACCCAAAAAAAACCCCCCAAAAATCCCCAAACCCCATCACCCCCACCCAGGCAAATCCACGGCTGTGGCTTTCAAATTCAGATTTCAAATTTCTTTCAAAATGTTAAAATTTTGGGATTTCAAGCCGAGATTCTGGATTTGGATTTTGAGCTGGGGATGGGCCGTGGAAGTCTGAAATTCCACAGGGAAGGAATTCCCACTATCCCGGGCTGCCCCGAGCGCCGCCCGACCTGTCCCGGGATGTTTGGGGTGGGTTTGGCCAGGAATTGTTTGGGATCCGGCCGGGGCCGTGTGGCCTTCTGTGGGAAAGGGTTGGGAAAAGGGGCAGCGCCACAAATCCAAGGGAACACTCGGGATCCAGCAGGAAAAAAACCCCAAAACAAAAAAAACCAATAAAAACAAACAAACAAACAAACAAAAAAAACAACAAAAACAAACAAAAAACCCCAACAAAAACAAACAAAAAACCCAACAAAAACAAACAAACAAAACCCCAACAAAAACAAACAAACAAACAAAAAACCAACAAAAACAAACAAAAAACCCCAACAAAAACAAATGAACAAACAAAACAACAAAAAACAAACAAACAAACAAAAAACCCCAACAAAAACAAACAAACAAAACCCCAACAAAAACAAACAAACAAAAAAACAACAAAAACCAAGCAAACAAACCAAAAAACCAACAAAAACAAACAAACAACCAAAAACCCCACCAACCAACCAAAAAAAATCAACAACCAAAAAAACCCCAAAAAACAAAAAAAACCCAACTCATAAAAAAACCCCAAAGAATTCAAAAAAAACCCCCAAAACCTCCCAAAAAAAACCCCCAAAAACCCATAAGAAACCCCAAATAATTTGAAAAAAATCCCCCAAAACCCCATAAAAACCCCATTAAAAACCCCAAAAGAATTTTTTTAAATCCCCAGCGGGCACGGGATGTTTTCCTCTCCGGAGCCAGAGTTTCCCACATGGATCTGGGGCGGTTTGGTGTTCCCTGGGAATTCCCATCCCTGTATCCCGACCCCTGATCCCCCCAATCCACGAAAAAGCCGCTGAGCCTGCGGCTGGGGCTCCCATCTCCAACTTTTTCATGGAATGAGGTTGGAAAATTCCTTGGGCTCCCTGATCCCCACACCCACCCGGGTTTAAATCCCGCAGGAATTATCCCGGCACGTTCCAGGGCTCCCGCCTCCCCTTTCCCAAATTTCGATGTCGAAGCCCCTTGGGAATGCCTGGAATTCCCACCCAGCCCCTGCACAACCTTTTCCATGAGGGAATTGTTCCTCATTCCAACCTGAACTTTCCCCGGCAAAACTCGAGGCTGTTCATAAATAACAACAAAATCCCAAATTTCCCGAGGTTTTTCCCCAGGGAATTTTTTCTCCTGTAGTTTTCCATCCTTCCCGCGGGATCTGTTCCACCTGAGCCCCCCCAAATCCCTCAGATCCGCCCCCAACATCCAAACTGGGATGAGCAGAGGGAACCGAGCCTCGTCCCGTGCCAGGAGGAGAATCCCAGCCGGAATTCCGGGATAAACTGTGGGATTCGGGAACAGGGGTTGGGAAGGTGCCGGGAAGAACCTGATTCCAGCTTGGAGAGGGCTTGGAGGGACAGGGGGAGGTGTCGGGGTTGGGATGGGGTGGGATTGGAGGTCCCCTCCCACCCAAACCATTCCAGGATCCTCTGGAGCTGCCGGGGTGGCTCCAGGCTGGAGTTCTGTCCCAGCAGAGAAATAATTTGGGATGCGGCTCCAAGGGGAAAAAAAAATAGGATCCAGGGAATTCTTGGAGCTGCTTCCTGAGCCCAAAGGGGCTCCAGGAGAGCTGGGATTTGGGCAAGGGCTGGAGGGGCAGGAGGCAGGGAATGGCTTCCAGTGGGAAAGGGGAGCTTTGGATTGTGGGATCTTGGGAAGGAATTCCCGCTGAGCTGGAATTCCCAGAGAATCCCTGGGAATGTCCCAGGAAAGGTGGGACGGGCTTGGAGCACCCCGGGATGGCGGGAAGTGTCCCTGTCCAGGTGGAACGGGACGAGCGTCACGGTTCCTCCCCACCCAAACCATTCCAGGATCCTCCAGCCCCAACCTCCTTCCGCAGCCTTGGATTCCAGGAGGGAATGACGGGGGAACCTCCTGGGCTGGGAATTCCCCCTCCAGGCCCCGAGGAGCCGGGAATGCCCTGGGGAGGATCCCAGGGCTCCTCCTGACCTCCGGCGCTCTCTTCCCGGCAGTGTCCCGGCCCCAGGCGTCCCCCGAGGAGCTGCAGGCGCTGCTGGGCGACGTCCGGCGCCTCAACGAGACCCTGCGCCAGCTGCAGCTGCAGCTGCTGCACCCGCCGCCCAGGGCCGAGCTGCTGGAGCACGTCTGGCGGCTGCAGGACCTGCTGCAGAACCACTCGGACGCGCTGCTGCTGCTGTCGGGCTCGCTGCAGCGGCTGCAGGGGCTCCTGGGGGGCCTGCAGGGCCAGGCCGGCCAGGCCGAGCGCTCGCTGGCGCGGCTGCGGGACGCGCTGGCCCAGCAGGGCGACGCGGCCCAGCTGGAGCTGTCGCGGCTCTGGGTGGACGCCAACGGCAGCCGGCTGCTCCTGGAGCACCACCAGCACCTCCTGGGCCACCTGGGCGGGCGGCTGGACGCCCTGGGCGAGCAGGTGGCCGTGCTGGGCGGGGCTGTGGATTCCATGAACCGCAGCTTCTCCTACGACATCCGCGTGCAGCATTCCCGGCTCCGGGACCTGCAGGGGCTCCTGGGCAACGCCAGCGCGGACGCGTGGAGGATGCGGGCGGCGCACGCGGCCATGGAGCGGCAGCTGAGGCTGGAGCTGGCCCTGCTCAACAACGTCACCGAGGAGCTGCGCATGAAGGACTGGGAGCATTCCGTGGCGCTCCGGAACATCTCCGTGATCCGGGGTGAGTGGTGGCACCGGGAGTGGTCCCCGCGCTCCTCTGGGGGGTCAGCCCGTCAGGGATTGGAGAATCCCTGGGTTCTCCAGCTGGAGAACAGCTCCAGTGGAGTTGTTCAGGTTGGAAAAGCTCGCCGAGGTCATGGAGTCCAGCTGGTTGCCACCAATGATCCGTGTCCCCCCATGTCCACGTCATTTTAATCTCGACTCCAAACTGCCCTGGGCCTGTTCCAATGCTTCACAGCCCTTTCCATGAAGGAATTGTTCCCAATATCCAACTAAACCTTCCCTGGCACAGCCTGAGACCCTTTTCTCATCCTCTTTCTTGTTTCTCGGGAGCAGATCCCAAATCCCACCTGGCTCCAGCTGTTACACGCTCCAGCCCCTCCAGGTCTCTCCGGTTGGGAAGGTCCCAGACCCACCCAAATCCATCCCCGCTCAGGTGTCTCCACCCCCTTGGGCTCTCCAAATATTCCCCATCCATGGTTTGGAAGGAAGCTCCCAAGGTTCCCTCAAAGATGCCAGGAAAACCCAACCTCCCCCATGCCATCTTCTCCTCCTTTCCCACCCTCAGCCCTTCCCAAATCCTGGAACTGTTTGGGTGGGAAGGGCCCTTAAATCCCATCCCGTTCCAACTCCAACACCTTCCCCTGTCCCAGGCTGCTCCCAGCCTGGCCTTGGACACTTCCAGGGATCCAGGGGCAGCCGCAGCTGCTCTGGGAATGCCGTGCCAGGGAGGGGGAACCCCACGGAGAAGCCCAGGAGATCCCAGTGGGAGCTCCAGGCCGGAGCAGGAGATTGGGAGCAGCTCCTGTCCCATTCTCCACCTGCGGAGACCCCGCAGGCTGTTGCTCATTCCCGGTGCTTCCAGATGGAATTCCAGCTGGAATTCCAAGGCCAGGGCTGGTGCCAAGGCACTTGTTCCCCTTTTCCAGCTGCTGGGCCGGAGGGGATGGACGTGGTTGATCCCCAGGAGATCCATCCCTCTGGAATCCCAACAGCTCCTGGGGTGCTTCCCCTCATCCCTGGAGTTCGTAGGCTCCTGATCCCTGGTTTTGGGATGCTGGGATCACCCTGCCCCAATTGCTTCGATATTTCCCTATTTCCGCACTCCTCAGATCCCACTTTTCCCTCCCCATCCATGGGGATGACGTCACCTGCTCTGGGATGAAGCCACCAAGGGTGGGACCCGTCACGGAGCCCTGGCGCCGCGTTATCCCAGAACAAACCCCTTCCCAAGGGCCGGCACCGGATTTATCAGCCCTGACACATTCCTGGCACCCCAAACTCCCCTCTCCTCCCATCCCATGGATGATTCCCGGGGCCTCGTGCCCAGCTGGATTCGTCCCAGCTCCAGATGTCCTTGGGTGAGTCCGTCCTGTTCCCGGCTGGATTTGGCCGAGCCATTCCCTGCCTGCCTGGGGGGGCCCTGCTCCTTCTCCCCGAATCCTCGCCCATCCCAAGCTCCGGATCCTGGATCCTGGAACTGGGCGGTGGCAGCTTGGGAAGGTCCCCAGGCTCCTCTCCAGCATCCCAGGATTGCTCCCAGTGCCCCACGGCTCGGGAAGGACAACGCGGAGGAGTTTTGGGTCTTGGGAGTCACCACGAGGGAGAATTCCCGGGATCCGCTCGGTGGATCCCTGGGTGGGATGTGCTGGATCCCAGCAGGTCCCCAAGGTGACGGGACGGTCCCGCCCCTCAGGAAACCTTCATCCCACTGGGATTGGAGGGTGGGAAGCAGGAATGGGATTTCCCAGGTGTGACCCTCAGGAGCTGTGGGGTGGGAAGGGCTGGGAATGCCCGGGAGCCTCTCCCAGCCCCATTCCCGGTTTTCCTCCAGCCCAGCAGCTCCATGTCCTGTCCCAAGAGCTGCCCCTGGGATGGGACCGTCCCTGGGAGCATTCCAGGAAATCTGTGCCTGCCCCATCCCTGGAAAGGGATGGGGCACCCTGGAAGTGCCCATCCCAAGGGTCTGGGATCCATCCCAAGGGTCTGGGATCCATCCCAAGGGTCTGGGATCCATCCCAAGGGTCTGGGATCCATCCCAAGGGTTTGGGATCCATTCCAAGGTCTGGGATCCATCCCAAGGGTCTGGAATCCATTCCAAGGTCTGGGATCCATCCCAAGGGTTTGGGATCCATTCCAAGGTCTGGGATCCATCCCAAGGGTCTAGGGTCTATCCCAAGGATCTAGGGTCCATCCTTGCAATCCAGAGTCCATTCCTGGGTTCTGAGGTCCATCCCTAGGATCTGGGGTCCATCCCAACAGTCTGGAGTTCATTCCTGGGATCTGGAATCCATTCCTGGGATCCAGAGTCCATCCCTGGGATCCGGAATCCATCCCTGGGATCCTGAGTCCATTCCTGGGATCCGGAATCCATTCCTGGGATCCGGAGTCCATCCCTCCATCCCCTCAGCCCCGGGAGCAGTTCATTCCCTGGGGAAGAGACAGCCAGGGCCACTAATTCCATATTTCCCATCATCATTTCCTATCCCAAACCGTCTCCAGCTTGGGATGTTTCCCAACCTTGACGTGGTTCAGGATCCCACTCTGGATCTCATTCTGGGTCCTGCTCTGGATCCCATTCTGGATCCCACAGTGGATCCCACTGATTCCCACAGAGCATTCCCAGATCCCAATTCCCGATCCATTAAAACACATCCCTGCTCTTCCCGCCCCTTTTCCAGCGCCCGGAGCTCCGCCTGGGTCTCAGCTTCCCGAGTTCCCGGCTTTCAGGATTTCTCGGAAAACATTTCCCAGTCCTCGCCCTGGATGGGTGGGAATGACCCTTCCCGGCCTCTCCCTGCCCCCTTTTCTCTCATCCCAGGAATATTTTTTTCTTCCCTGTTACTTTTCTCTTCAAATTCCTTCTTCCCATTGTTTTGGCTCCCGATTATTTTCAGCTTTTGGGATTTGAGCCTTTGCAGGATGAGGGATAAAACCCGGGATTGGGATTTTCTGCAAGTTCCTGGGATTTTACCAAAATCCCGCTGTCAATCCTCTCCTCAAGGATCATCTCCAGAATTCCCAGAGGATCACCCCAGCTGGACAAATGGAATGCATTCCTGTCCCTGGATGATCCTTAACATCCTTTCCAAACCCCCAAAATTCCAGGATTCTAGGAACATTCCCAAAATGCGTATTTTCCCTGATTTCTTGCAATGATTTCATTGGGAATGTCCCGGCTTTTGGTCTAAAGGAAAATTCCTGGAGTCGCACTCAAGGTGGAGCTTCCAGGTGGATTTTCCTGGCACTTGGAGCAAGCTGGTGGAATCCAGTTTGGAATTTAGGATCCACAAATCCCGGAAGTTTAAAATCATGGAAAACTGCTTTGTCCCGGCTTTGTTCCCACATTTCTCCACGATCTGGGATCTCCCGGAGCTCCTGCTGTGCATTCCCGACTCCGGGATGTGATTCCCGCTCTCCCCTTGTGTTCCAGGACCACCGGGACCCAAAGGAGACCGAGGCACGGAAGGGATGGAGGGAGAGCCCGGCCTTCCCGGCCTTCCCGGGGTCCGAGGTAAGGAAAACATTCCCAAATTCCCCCCAAATCCCATCCTGAAATAACCCGGCTGATCCAAACCCAACGGGACAACTCCCAGTGATTCCCGACCCATCCCTTGGGACGTCCCAGCTCCTGAGGGACACGAGGATGGATCTGCTCTCCCAGATCCTGGATCTGCTCTCCCGGCTCCAGGACATCCATGCTGATATTCCCAGATTTCCAGGGTGTCCCAGCCAGGCTGGAGCAGGAATTGGCCGCCCCATTCCCAAGCGGAGCCTTCCAAGGCACCAGGGCTGGGATTGCTGCTGGATCCCTCTGGCAGATCCCGGGAACCCGGCAGAGGGGTCTTGGCCCTGGGATTTTTCCAGAATTTTCTTTTTCCAACATCAGCAATGCAATTTTTCCCACCCCTCCCTTCTGAATTCCACTGTTTTTGGGAGGAATTCCATTGGAAGCCACCAGAGAACATTCCCACCCTGCGGAAGACTTGGCTCCAGCTGTTTTTAATTTGAAGGAAACCTGGGAATGCTGCTCTGCTTCCAGGGGCTGGGAATGGTGGAGGTGGGGCAGGATCCCCTCAGGGACACCTTTGTCCCGTGGAGGTGACGGGATCCATCCTGCTGGGAGCAGGGATCCACTGGGATCCCACAGCATGGAGCTCCAGGGCCAGGACCAGATCCAGGTTTGGATTCACATCCAGGTCCGGTTCCAGGAGCGGGCCCAGGTCAAGGTCCAGATCCAGACCCAGATGTGGATCCAGATCCAGGTCAAGTTCTAGGAACAGATCCAGATCCAGACCCAGGCCCAGGTGTGGATCCAGATCCAGGCCCAGATGTGGATCCCGATCCAGATCTGGATCCAGATCCAGATCCAGATCCGGATCCAAGTCCAGATCCAGACCCAGACCCAGATGTGGATCCAAATCCAGGTCAAGTTCTAGGAACAGATCCAGATCCAGACCCAGACCCAGGTGTGGATCCAGATCCAGGCCCAGATGTGGATCCAGAGCCAGATCTGGATCCAGATCCAGGTCAAGTTCTAGGAACAGATCCAGATCCAGACCCAGACCCAGATGTGGATCCAGATCCAGGTCAAGTTCTAGGAACAGATCCAGATCCAGACCCAGACCCAGGTGTGGATCCAGATCCAGGCCCAGATGTGGATCCAGATCCAGGTCAAGTTCTAGGAACAGATCCAGATCCAGATCCAGGCCCAGGTGTGGATCCAGATCCAGGCCCAGATGTGGATCCAGATCCAGGTCAAGTTCTAGGAACAGATCCAGATCCAGACCCAGACCCAGGTGTGGATCCAGATCCAGGTCAAGTTCTAGGAACAGATCCAGATCCAGATCCAGACCCAGGTGTGGATCCAGATCCAGGCCCAGATGTGGATCCAGATCCAGATCCGGATCCAGATCCAGATCCAAGTCCAGACCCAGACCCAGATGTGGATCCAAATCCAGGTCAAGGTCCAGGAGCAGATCCAGATCCAGATGTGGATCCAGATCCAGATCCAGGTTTGGAGTCATAACCAGGTTAAAGTCTGGGTCCAGGTTCAGCTCCAGGTCTAAGTCCAGGTTCAGGTCCAAGTCCAGGCCCAGATGTCGATCCAGATCCGTGTCCAGTTCAATGTCCAAGACCGGGACCAGGACCAGGTCCAGGTCAAGGTCCAGATCCTGACCCAAGTCCAGATTCAGATTTGGATCTGGATCCAGGTCTAGTCCATATCCAGGACCAGGTCCCGACCAATCCCTGCTATCCCCTGCTCCAAACCCACCCCACAGGACTTTGGATGTCAGAGGCAGGTCCAGATCCAGACCCAGACCCAGATCCAGACCCAGACCCAGACCCAGATCCAGACTCAGACCCAGACCCAGATCCAGACCCAGACCCAGACCCAGACCCAGACCCAGACTCAGACCCAGACCCAGACCCAGACCCAGACCCAGACCCAGACCCAGTTCCAGACCCAGACCCAGACCCAGACCCAGACCCAGACTCAGACCCAGACCCAGTTCCAGACTCAGACCCAGACCCAGATCCAGACTGAGACCCAGATCCAGACCCAGGTCCAGACTCAGACCCAGACCCAGACCCAGGTCCAGACTCAGACCCAGACCCAGACCCAGACCCAGATCCAGACCCAGATCCAGACCCAGATCCAGACTCAGATCCAGCTCCAGCTCCAGCTCCATGCCTGGAATCCTCTGCTCCAAGGATTCTGAGGCACCGGACCTTGCTGGGTCTGCTTTGGGCTCAAACCCTGGGATTTTGGGATCGCTCCTTCCCAGGCCCAGCCCAGCGAGGCAGAGCCAGCCTGGAAATCCGATCTCCCTCGGCCAGCCCCTCCGGCTGCCCGTGTTCCTTCTCCCTCCAGCTGGAATTTCTGGCACTGACGGACTCGTGGCTGTTTTTCTTGGGTGTAACAACCCTCAGAATTATATTGGATCTTTTCCTTGCTTTTCCCTTTTTTTCCCTCCATTTTTTTCTTGTTCAAACAGAAAAACAAAGCAATCCCAGAAGGGTTCACCTTCAGGAAGAGTTGTGGGGACAGCCACGATTTTTAGGTCTTTTCCAGGAATTTTTTGGGATGCAGGCACGACTCTTTGGATCTGAAAAGACTGGGTTCAGGTGTATCCCTGGAAAATCTTGTTTTCCATGGAAAATCCCCTTTTCCATGGAAAATCCACCCTCCTGCCCCCACTCTGCAGAAATCCAGGTCCGGATCCCTCCTCGGGATGGACATAGCAGGGAAAGGTCGGAGCTGGGGATAATCCCTGCTGGAGCTGGGGCTGGAATTCCTTATGGAGGATTTTTTTCCTCGTAAACCGGAGGAAAATCGTGACTAAGTTTGGAAAAGCCCGGCCCAGGAAGGGCGGGGGCAGCAGCGCCTGGGGAACCCAGGGCTCCCTCCACATGGACAGAGCCAGGCTTAGATCCTGGAGGAGCTTCGGATCCGAGCCCCTGCTGGATCGATCCCGTTGGATCATCCCCAGGTCCCAGCAGATCCCGTCTCCATCCCACAGCCAGATCTGGATCCAGGTCTAGGTCCTGGCTGGGGTCCAGACCCAAGTCCAGATTTCAGATCCAGACCCAGATCCAGGTCCAGGTCCAGTTTCAGGACCACAACCAGATCCACAACTGGATTCAGGTCCAGATCAAGGTTCAAGATCAGGTCCAGATCCAGTTCCAGGAGCAGGTCCAGATCCAGTTCCAGGCCCAGGTCAAAATCCAGCTTCAGAGCCAGGTCCAGGAGCAGATTCAGGTCCAGGTCCATGTCCAAGTCCAGGTCCATGTCCAGGTCCAGGTGTAGATCCAGGTCCAGGTCCAGGTCCAGGTCCAGGACCACATCCTGATCCCTCCAAAGTTCATCTGTGTCCCCTGTGCAGGAATTCCCAAACTCCAGCCCAATTCCCACCTCCCGGACATCAGGAACGCTCACACCAGGGGGTTCCATCCCTAAATCCTTCTCCAGCAAACATCCAACCCTTGGATAACATGGATCCTGGAGACCTGGGCCTCATGGGGGACACATCCCAATTCCTTGGGATGGATCCTGGTTTTCCCTCCTTGATCTCCAGCTCTGGAGCCCAATTTACCTCCCCCCAGCCTAAGGATGCTCAGGAATTCCTTAGCACCCGGATAAATCCATCCTGGATCCCATGGAAGTGGAGGAGAAGGGTGGGCTGGACTCTCTGGGGTCTCCCGGTGTTCCTGGGCACATCGGGATTGTGGAATTCTGCCGGAACCAGCTCCCCATCCTCATTCCAGGGTTTCCCGGGGAGCGGGGGCTGCCCGGCCCGCAAGGATTGAAGGGGGACCAGGGAGAGCTCGGCCCTCGCGGCCCCGCGGGAACGCGCGGCTTCAAAGGTACGGACGCGGATCCCGGCGGGAATCCAGGAGCAGACGGGCTCTGGAGATCCCGGGATGAGGGGCAGAGCCCTGGAAGGGAGACCGGGGCGTCCTCTGGCTCGGGAGGCACCCGGATCTCCTGGAGGAACGGGAATCCCAACAATTCCTGCACCAGCGCCGTCCCACCGCGGAGGGAACGGATGGATTTGGGATGTGCTCCCATTCCGTGGGGCTCCGTGGGGCCTCCCGGGCTGTGCTGCCACGCCTGGCTCCGGCAGGGATTTGGGAATAATCTCCTGGTGTTTTCTCTTTGCTGCGGTTTCCCATCTTCCCGGGAAAACTGTGGGAGTAGGAAGTCGGGATTTAGCGGGACACGGCTGTCCCTGGACACCTGGGGTGGTAATTCCCAGCTGCAACCAGAACCAGGACCGAAAACCCCAAAAAATGCCCTTTGTGCCTCAAAACCCCTGCTGGGGAGGCAGGAAGGGAAAACACCCTGGGAAGAGCTGGGAATTGCAGGGAATAGAAACCTGGAGGGGACTGGGATTGGGACTGGAACTGGGATTGGGACTGGGATTAGGATTAGGATTGGAATTGGGACTGGGATTGGGATTGGGATTGGGACTGGGACTGGGACTGGGATTGGGATTGAGTTTGGGATTGGGATTTGGATTGGGATTGGAATTGAGACGGGGATTAGGATTGGGATTGGGATTGGGATTGGGATTAGGATTGGGATTGGGATTGGGACCTTAAAGATCCTTGAATTCCACGCCCTTCCACACCTTCCACTATCCCAGGTTGCTCCAGGAGGTTGGAAAACCCCTGGATACATCCCCGGAGCACCAGGAACATTGGGATTTTCTCACTGGCCCATGCCGAGAGATCCTTAAATCCAGAAAACAATCCCAAAAATCCCCGGCTGGTTGGGTTGGGATTTGCTGGCCTGATGCTGGATCTGCTCTCCAAGGAATCATGGAATTGTTGAGGCTGGAAAAGTTCTCCGAGTCCAACCATTCCCACCCCTGATCCACATCTCCGACTGCCACATTCCCACGGATTTGGATCCCTCGGGAACGGGGGCTCCACCATTCAGTGGTCTTTGAGGGCTTTTCCAACCTCAACAATTCCATGAAAACCCCAAAGCCATTCCCGCATCCCGTCCCCGCCCCAGGGATCTCCGGTGTCCCACGCGGATGGGGGTCACTCCAATGGGTCCCCCCAAAAATCCACCCCCACCTCGCTCCCCACGGAGATCGGGAATGTCGGATCCAGGGGTTCATCCGCCCCCTTTTCCAATGAAATTCCAGCCCCTCTGGCAGCGCTCGGGCAGTTTATGGGATTCTCTGGAATTTATGGGAAACAGACCCGGGCCTGGGCACGGATCCAAAGCCAGGCTTTGCCTTAAACCCCGGATTTCTGCAGGACCCTTCTCCAAGGAATTCCTGCCGAGCACAGGAGCCCTCGGTTCCTCGGGAATTGCATCCCAGGAATTCTGGGATGGGGGTTTTAGGGGTGGAGGAGCCTCCTCATGGAAAATTCCAGGTCTAAACCTCTCCTGGAGTTTAAGAGAACCCAGTGGAGAAATGGCAGATTCCTGAGAGCTTTTCCTCATTGGAATTTTCCCATTTTTGATGGATTTTTCCTCAAAATTACCCCAGTGGAGGATTTTTCCCCTCATTTCCAAACGGGACAAATTACCCTGGGAAGTGAGGACAGGTCCGCCCTCCCACTTTTCCATGGGCAAGGTCGTGCAGGGAATACACTCAGGAGGAAAGAGCAGGAAAAACCCAAGCGGGGATCGGAATTCAGGGGTAAATTCGGGGGGAGAAGAGAAGATTCCTTCCTCCAGGTCCAGGTCCAGGTCCAGGTCCAGGTCCAGGTCCATGTCCATGTCCAGGTCCTGGAGCAGATCTAGATCCAGGACCAGGTTCAGGTCCAGGTCCTGGAGCAGATCTAGATCCAGGTCCAGGTCCAGGTCCAGGTCCAGGTCCAGGTCCAGGTCCAGGTCCAGGTCCATGTCCATGTCCAGGTCCTGGAGCAGATCTAGATCCAGGACCAGGTTCAGGTCCAGGTCCTGGAGCAGATCTAGATCCAGGTCCAGGTCCAGGTCCAGGTCCAGGTCCAGGTCCAGGTCCAGGTCCAGGTCCATGTCCATGTCCAGGTCCTGGAGCAGATCTAGATCCAGGACCAGGTTCAGGTCCAGGTCCTGGAGCAGATCTAGATCCAGGTCCAGGTCCAGGTCCAGGTCCAGGTCCAGGTCCAGGTCCAGGTCCAGGTCCATGTCCATGTCCAGGTCCTGGAGCAGATCTAGATCCAGGACCAGGTTCAGGTCCAGGTCCTGGAGCAGATCTAGATCCAGGTCCAGGTCCAGGTCCAGGACCAGGTCCAGGTCCAGGTCCAGGTCCATGTCCATGTCCAGGTCCTGGAGCAGATCTAGATCCAGGACCAGGTTCAGGTCCAGGTCCTGGAGCAGATCTAGATCCAGGTCCAGGTCCAGGTCCAGGACCAGGTCCAGGTCCAGGTCCAGGTCCAGGTCCAGGTCCAGGTCCAGGTCCAGGTCCAGGTCCAGGTCCTGCAGCAGATCTAGATCCAGGACCAGGTTCAGATCCAGGAGCAGATCTAGATCCAAGTCCAGGTCCAAGTCCAGGTCCTGGAGCAGATCTAGATCCAGGTCCAGGTCCAGGTCCCACATGGATGGAGGTGACCTCCAAAGTTCATCTGTGTCCCCTGTGCAGGAATTCCCAAACTCCAGCCCAATTCCCACCTCCCGGACATCAGGAACGCTCACACCAGGGGGTTCCATCCCTAAATCCTTCTCCAGCAAACATCCAACCCTTGGATAACATGGATCCTGGAGACCTGGGCCTCATGGGGGACACATCCCAATTCCTTGGGATGGATCCTGGTTTTCCCTCCTTGATCTCCAGCTCTGGAACCCAATTTACCTCCCCCCAGCCTAAGGATGCTCAGGAATTCCTTAGCACCCGGATAAATCCATCCTGGATCCCATGGAAGTGGAGGAGAAGGGTGGGCTGGACTCTCTGGGGTCTCCCGGTGTTCCCGGGCACATCGGGATTGTGGAATTCTGCCCATTTTGTGTCCCCATCCTCATTCCAGGGTTTCCCGGGGAGCGGGGGCTGCCCGGCCCGCAAGGATTGAAGGGGGACCAGGGAGAGCTCGGCCCTCGCGGCCCCGCGGGAACGCGCGGCTTCAAAGGTACGGACGCGGATCCCGGCGGGAATCCAGGAGCAGACGGGCTCTGGGGATCCCGGGATGAGGGGCAGAGCCCTGGAAGGGAGACCGGGGCGTCCTCTGGCTCGGGAGGCACCCGGGTCTCCTGGAGGGACGGGAATCCCAACAATTCCTGCACCAGCGCCGTCCCACCGCGGAGGGAACGGATGGATTTGGGATGTGCTCCCATTCCGTGGGGCTCCGTGGGGCCTCCCGGGCTGTGCTGCCACGCCTGGCTCCGGCAGGGATTTGGGAATAATCTCCTGGTGTTTTCTGTTTGCTGCGGTTTCCCATCTTCCCGGGAAAACTGTGGGAGTAGGAAGTCGGGATTTAGCGGGACACGGCTGTCCCTGGACACCTGGGGTGGTAATTCCCAGCTGCAACCAGAACCAGGACCGAAAACCCCAAAAAATGCCCTTTGTGCCTCAAAACCCCTGCTGGGGAGGCAGGAAGGGAAAACACCCTGGGAAGAGCTGGGAATTGCAGGGAATAGAAACCTGGAGGGGACTGGGATTGGGACTGGAACTGGGATTGGGACTGGGATTAGGATTAGGATTGGAATTGGGACTGGGATTGGGATTGGGACTGGGATTGAGATTGAGTTTGGGATTGGGATTTGGATTGGGATTGGAATTGAGACAGGGATTAGGATTGGGATTGGGATTAGGATTGGGATTGGGATTGGGATTGGGATTGGGATTGGGATTGGGATTGGGATTGGGATTGGGATTGGGATTAGGATTGCGATTGGGATTGGGACCTTGAAGATCCTTGAATTCCACGCCCTTCCACACCTTCCACTATCCCAGGTTGCTCCAGGAGGTTGGAAAACCCCTGGATACATCCCCGGAGCACCAGGAACATTGGGATTTTCTCACTGGCCCATGCCGAGAGATCCTTAAATCCAGAAAACAATCCCAAAAATCCCCGGCTGGTTGGGTTGGGATTTGCTGGCCTGATGCTGGATCTGCTCTCCAAGGAATCATGGAATTGTTGAGGCTGGAAAAGTTCTCCGAGTCCAACCATTCCCACCCCTGATCCACATCTCCGACTGCCACATTCCCACGGATTTGGATCCCTCGGGAACGGGGGCTCCACCATTCAGTGGTCTTTGAGGGCTTTTCCAACCTCAACAATTCCATGAAAACCCCAAAGCCATTCCCGCATCCCGTCCCCATCCCAGGGATCTCCGGTGTCCCACGCGGATGGGGGTCACTCCAATGGGTCCCCCCAAAAATCCACCCCCACCTCGCTCCCCCCGGAGATCGGGAATGTCGGATCCAGGGGTTCATCCGCCCCCTTTTCCAATGAAATTCCAGCCCCTCTGGCAGCGCTCGGGCAGTTTATGGGATTCTCTGGAATTTATGGGAAACAGACCCGGGCCTGGGCACGGATCCAAAGCCAGGCTTTGCCTTAAACCCCGGATTTCTGCAGGACCCTTCTCCAAGGAATTCCTGCCGAGCACAGGAGCCCTCGGTTCCTCGGGAATTGCATCCCAGGAATTCTGGGATGGGGGTTTTAGGGGTGGAGGAGCCTCCTCATGGAAAATTCCAGGTCTAAACCTCTCCTGGAGTTTAAGAGAACCCAGTGGAGAAATGGCAGATTCCTGAGAGCTTTTCCTCATTGGAATTTTCCCATTTTTGATGGATTTTTCCTCAAAATTACCCCAGTGGAGGATTTTTTCCCTCATTTCCAAACGGGACAAATTACCCTGGGAAGTGAGGACAGGTCCGCCCTCCCACTTTTCCATGGGCAAGGTCGTGCAGGGAATACACTCAGGAGGA